ACCGGGGGCGGAAGGGGAGGAGGAGGAGGAGGTGGTGGTGGTGGGATTGGATGTGATGGGATTGGATGGGACGGGGTCAGGAGGAAGGAGCTACGTGCTATATGGTTCGTGTTATATTAGGAGAAATCTTCTCGGGACATCGATTATCTCCGACAACGTACTCGTCGAATAATTCGACAGTTTATGGATTACGCTGACCAGCATGCATTATCGCTCACATTGTAATTTACGAACTTTTACTAAGGCATTGAATGAGCCGCCACTCGATCGGCTATTAATAGTCTTAAGCTTAATAGTAGTGCGATGCACCAGGTCCGTAATAAGAATTCGTAGCGTTGAGATTGTCCAGCGATAAAGAAGATGGACAAGGGTCGCGGTCGTCGTAGTCGGACAAACGTGATAGTCGATCAATGGCATTCATTCAGCAATTAAACCGTTCGGTTTCCGAGTACAGAGGATATGTTGCTATCTTCCTCCTCAAAGTAATTTCGTATAATTAGCCTCTCGGAGTCTTTGGCTCTTTAATAATGATGGACTACGACGATGGCAAGTAAGCGACGGGCTGAAAAATATTTTCGCTGCTGTAAATTTGCCAATAAAACATGAAACAATTAGCGTTTGCAGTTTAAATGTGTGCCACGAACGCAAAAAAGGAAGAAGGAAAATCCGAAATTTTGCTTAGACTTGCTTATATACTGTAGCCTGAAAATTTGTTTTTTTTTTTCTTTTTTATCGAAGGCATTCTTACTTTCATTTCCATTTTTTTTTCTATTTATCTTTACTTCTTTGTTTTTCTCCAATAAAGAAATAATACGGATTTTTGTTATTGGTAATATCTTTCTAAAAAAAAAAAAAAAAACTAACGCTAAAATCAATGTTCAAACTTTCATTACCGATGTTAAAGTAAAGTTTTATGTAAATGTATATTTAGCCGTTTCGATATACTACTGCTTTTTTTTTTCATCGAAAGTTTAAGTTTAATTTAATCGAACGTTCAAAAGTAGGAAATATTGCTTTAACGATTCTGATAAAAGGTTTATTTATCGATTTTGAGATAAAAATTCTCGGCATCCGTTGAGGTTGCAGTGCCAGTGCTTGAGTTAAGGATTAATTTTATTATTAATGAATTTATATTAGGCGAACGTGCGGCATTCCCTCTTAATATACCTAAAATAAGACATAAATCAATTTTGTGCGTGTGCGTGTGCGTGTAAAAAACAAAAACAAAAACAAAAACAAAAACAAAAAAAAAAACAAAAAAAAACAAAAAAACAAAAAAACAAAAAAAAAACAAAAAAACAAAAACAAAAAAAGAAAGAAAGAAAAAAGAAACAAAATGCAAGCAATTGAAACTCGTTAACTTTATTAAACTACTCTTCCGAAGTATTTTTTGATGAACAATCGTACGCGATAAAGCCGTGCGGCCGGCGTATCTTATAATGCTGGGAAAATAAAAATCCGCTTGATATAAAGGGAGAAGTAGAGGAGGGGGTAATGCTGATTAGCACGGGAGTTCTCGTTGAATCGCCGATGTAGGTAAACGAGTATAAAGGAGAGTCCGTGAGAGTGAACTCTAGTCCTTGACAGCGTGAAAACGAAATAAACAATACAAAGGTAAGGGTATGGCCGGTGTGCCGGTGGATGGGACACGCGGCCAGTGTACTCTTATAGTGATAAATGCACAACACAATTAGGTTAACATCGATGAAAATTAACGACGACGACTTTATAAAGGAAAAAAGAAAAAAGAAATAGAAAAAAAACACCAAACTTTCTGACGATGCCTGTTCGAATAACCGAACGTCAGATTATCTCTCTTATTACGGCTAATTGCGATTAAGACTTTGACGCTTACGTTATAAATTCTCAATAGTTGCAATAGCGAATGGAAAAATGGCGCACGGAGTTATATTTATACTACCAAGAGGCTCGCCTCTTATACTGAATCCCTCAAGATATTATCGCTACACCCCAGCATCGGCTGCCAATGTTTAATTAACACAAGGAGCTTTTAAGTTTCGAGTATGGGGCGCAGCTCGATAGTCCGCAACATTTATTTTCTAAAATCAAACGTCGTGGCTTTGGCTTTTACGATCGACAAAACTCGCGCCAATAAAATTCCTCGCTTCCTTCATTAACGATCGAATGAAAGGCTATGGGTGGGATGGGGAGGAGTAGATGGGATGGGGGGAGGAAGAGGGGAGGGGGGGGGCCGGGGGGGGGGGGGGGGGGGGGGGGGGGGGGGGGGGGGGGGGGGGGGGGGGGGGGGGGGGGGGGGGGGGGGGGGGGGGGGGGGGGGGGGGGGGGGGGGGGGGGGGGGGGGGGGGGGGGGGGGGGGGGGGGGGGGGGGGGGGGGGGGGGGGGGGGGGGGGGGGGGGGGGGGGGGGGGGGGGGGGGGGGGGGGGGGGGGGGGGGGGGGGGGGGGGGGGGGGGGGGGGGGGGGGGGGGGGGGGGGGGGGGGGGGGGGGGGGGGGGGGGGGGGGGGGGGGGGGGGGGGGGGGGGGGGGGGGGGGGGGGGGGGGGGGGGGGGGGGGGGGGGGGGGGGGGGGGGGGGGGGGGGGGGGGGGGGGGGGGGGGGGGGGGGGGGGGGGGGGGGGGGGGGGGGGGGGGGGGGGGGGGGGGGGGGGGGGGGGGGGGGGGGGGGGGGGGGGGGGGGGGGGGGGGGGGGGGGGGGGGGGGGGGGGGGGGGGGGGGGGGGGGGGGGGGGGGGGGGGGGGGGGGGGGGGGGGGGGGGGGGGGGGGGGGGGGGGGGGGGGGGGGGGGGGGGGGGGGGGGGGGGGGGGGGGGGGGGGGGGGGGGGGGGGGGGGGGGGGGGGGGGGGGGGGGGGGGGGGGGGGGGGGGGGGGGGGGGGGGGGGGGGGGGGGGGGGGGGGGGGGGGGGGGGGGGGGGGGGGGGGGGGGGGGGGGGGGGGGGGGGGGGGGGGGGGGGGGGGGGGGGGGGGGGGGGGGGGGGGGGGGGGGGGGGGGGGGGGGGGGGGGGGGGGGGGGGGGGGGGGGGGGGAGTAGTAGGAGGAGGATGGGTGTTTGTGGCGTAATGTGCATCCAACGTGTCGGCCATAAAATCTCACTGCACTTAAGCATACGCGTTACACGTCCACGATTCGACGAGTCCATGAAGGGCGAAATTGTCACCCAACTGGTGATACGGTGGTATGCGTATTAGCAATCGCTATTAAATCGAATGGACGGATGAAGGACGATGGATAAACGGCCGGTCGGCATCACGCGGCGTGGCGCGCGACCGAGAAATACGTCACTCACTTGGCGCTTACGCCAAGCTCGAGATAATAAAGCGACGTATCGAAAAATCCGCGAAAATTCAAGGCGAGTGTCGCCCGCGTAGCGGGATTTTCGTCGGTGGGTCCGACCGACCGGTCGCTCACTGCTAGAGGATTCGTCGCCGTGGAAGGACGAAGGCACGCGAGTCACGCGGCCAACAGGTTAGGACCGCACCCACTCGCACCGACTCCGATTTCAAGTTCTACTTCGACTCCTCTTGGCCCGTTGTCACGAGCCTTGGCCTTGTGTCGAGATTGTACTGTGGGACCAGTGGGGCCTTCGCGAAGGTTCGATAGGGGACCGCCATGGCTCGAGCGAGCCCTACTTTACGTCCCTTCGACGAAATTCCAGGACCAAGGGCTCTGCCGCTCATCGGGACACTTTACAAGTATCTGCCGTTCATCGGTAAGTGACGCTCGGGGAGGATGCGGCTATTTATTAACGAGGCTTCCTCCTCCTCCTCCTCATACCTCTCCTTGATGTGCGTCGACCGCATTTCGCTCGCGACATACCAGTGCCGAGGCTGATTGGCTGATCTTGGCGGCCGCATCGACGTCTCGCCCGAGATCCCTAACCAGCCGCCTTGACGCTCGAAGGATCATTTGTCTCGATTGTCTATGTTGCCACGCGCTTAGTTTCTTATCGCCATTGAGCATGTCCACTCCATGTCCATATTTTTCACAATCTCCTTCGCCTTTTTAAGATTTGATCGTTCGATTGGGTCACGTTATCAAATGACGCTATGCTCGTCGTCATAAGCCATCGAGCGCGCAAAGAGCCTCGTTAATCGGATATTGCTGAGATTTGTCTTGAATTATGAAAGAAATTAAATGAACGATACGTTAAATGCTCGAGGAATGGGAATTTATGAAAGCAAACTTGTATGTCGACTGGAGTTGTAAAGTGCTAAGAGAGAAAAAAAAATCATATGAAATAATATGTTGTTAGGTTTAGAAAAATGTTTATAAACGTGCAGATTATTTATTCCATTGAATAAAATAGATTTTTTCCTCTTCCCCCACCCCAAGTTTTATTCAAATCTAGAGACTGGGGGCACTGGAACTTTTAAATACGTTGATTCATAGGCGATAGAATAAATCTCTAAATTTTTTTCATATTAAAAATACGGGAACTTGTATCTTAAATCGTGAGATATGTAATTGTAAATAAAAATATTTGATCGTTATTATTAAATAATAATGGGCATAAAGTTTTTTCTTATCTCTCAATTTTTTTCTTTTTCTTTTTTTTTTCATTTCGTTTTTTCGAAATCAAATATTTAAAGGGAAAAAAATGAATATTCAAATGTGGCCTGAAAGAAGATTCCATGCATACTTTGTTACTCGACGAACTGGTTTTTGAATAATTATGTTTGGTAATAAACAAAAGGCTTTTAGCGCAACATATTATATAATATAAATCTTTTATGACCTTAGGTACTATAATTATTATCTCTGAAATATAGTAATTTCTAATGGTATATGCTTGGATCTTATATTGATCGTGTATGGCAATATCGAAGTCTAGAGTCCTATGATTTAAATATGACGATAAATGCGCGTGTGTATGCTCGCATAAGCCTATATAATTCTATATTTGAGAAAAATGTAAATACATTTATATTTAATCCCGAATGGCTATGAATATTTTGAAAATTAAAAATCAAATCATTTACAAAATAGGAAGTAATTCCATTTCCATGTGAAAAATGTACAAAAATAAATAAAATATCATTGTATAATCTTGAATAATTACTGATTTGTAAACAAAAAAAAACAAACAAAAAAAAAAAATAGTGTCATTTCAACAATAGTTTCGAATATGAAAAATCATACTCGTGTTTATTTGTGGTGAACTTCATTGAAAGGTGTTTTTAAAACGACAATGTAAATAAAGTGAAATGTTCTCACTCTCTCTCTCTCTCTCTCTCTCTCTCTCTGTCGCCCCGATATACTAAATTGCAAATGGAAGTTGGTGATCGTGTGACTAACTCATTTATATAAATATATAAAAGTTTGTGAATTACTTTAGCGTTTATACAGCTTTTTGTATATGACCATTCGAAACATAAACTTGACGCAGCATTCTGCTAAATTCCATTGAAAATAAAATTTAAAAGTGTGCGCGAAATTAAACACCTTCAATAATTTCCAGACTTATCTCGTATATAAGAATGTATATTCCTTTGAGCGTATCAACATAAAATTGGCTTTGAGAACGCCTGTAAAAGCAAAAGAAAAAAAAAACAAAGAAAAAAAAAAGAAGAAGAAAAACAACCAAATGGTTGAAGTCGGAAAAGTTTTGACTATCACATAAGAATTTGCCTTTTATAGGAAGCTCGGAAAATCTTTCAGAGTTTAATCTATCGATACTCAGCTCCTAAATACTTTAAATGACTTAAACCGATCGATACATAAATACATTAAGAGAACAAAAACACTCCACACGTGTAGGCGAGTACGACTTTAAGAAAATGCACAAAAACGGAGCGGCGAAGTACGCCAAGTACGGGCCACTGGTGCGCGAGGAGATCGTCGTGGGCGAGCCGATCGTCTGGGTATTCCGACCCGAGGACATCGCCGAGGTCTTCAAAGCCGACACCGGCCATTATCCTGAGCGACGAAGTCATCGGGCGCTATTCAAGTACCGCAAGGACCGAAGTAATCTGTACAACACCGGCGGACTCTTACCCACGTACAGCATTTGTTTTTTTTTTTTGTTTTTGTTTTTGTTTACCGCCTCGCTGGCCTAGTTTTAATCTTAAGTCTAGTTATCTTTGAAATAAATCTCTAATTATACTCTTCGTTCTTAAAGGCAGTTTAAATTTCAATTTATTCGGTTAAGGTGCACCAAAATTTCGACTGTCCATTGATATTTCACAAAGTTTCAAGATGCACAAAATCCGCGATACTTTCGCATCATCTGGTCTCGGAATTTTCAGACATACAAAAGTAAATTGGCTTTACATTACGAAGTACTCGTTTATTAAAAATTCGAAGCAATTGTATTGAAATATTCAAAATTTCATCATCGGCCTTACTTCCAAAATTATATAAAAATTTGTTCCATTACCCGATATCAATATGTTAATATATATATATATATAACAGAATATACATTCTAAAGTTATTAAATATACTTATTTAACTTTTATTACGAAATTTAGATTCAAACTGCACTTTACATTTATTATCTGAAAAGATGACTAACAGTCGATAAGTCCATAAGGTACTCTAAATCAAAGTAAGTTTCATATTGAATATCATACATCTATATATATATATATATATATATATATATTTGTGTGCGCGCGCGCGCGTGTGTGTGTGTGTAGTAAAAGAAAGCTTATCACATCTCCTCTCTTACCATAGAATCAATTGATAATTTCATTTTACAATAACATAATGATCATCTGTTAATTACCAGACTTGCGTATTAAACATGCCTTTAGCTACTCTTAATTCTATCCTTAATTCTCTTAATGAAAATAATTCGCTATAATAATAATAATAATAATTTAAATACACAAACAAAACAAAATGTGAATTCTTAATATTTTTTTTTCTTATTATTACTTTTATTCTCCTCGTAGAAATGGGTTTGATTGGTGGCGACTCAGAAAGGAATTCCAAAAAACATTGAGTAAATCACAGAATTTGGTTGGCTACCTGCCCGATACCGACCACGCGATAACAAAATTTACAAAAATATGTGAACAAAATAAGACAACCGACGCACTACCTTTATTATCCCGCCTATTTCTGGAATGTAAGTAAACATTGGTTTGATCATAATTGATCATTCTTATTACGATGCGTACACGCATAATATTAACCATTGAATTTGTTTAGTAACGTGTCTAGTTGCTTTTGATCTCAAAATAAATACTTTTTCGGAACACGAGATACGAGGGAATTCAATGAGCTCGAAATTAATAGACGCCGCATTTACCACAAATAGTGCGATATTACGACTAGACAATGGACCGCGACTTTGGCGATTTTTCGATACGCCATTATACCGAAAATTGTCCAAAGCTCAATCGTACATGGAAAAGTAAATGATAAAACATATTACATTGCAATTAATTCATCCAGTTGAATTTTCATTAATGGCTCGTTATTTTTTTGTCAATTAGAATTAACGTGAATGTTTGAAAATCAATTTTAATCGTCTATTTTAAATAATATCTTAATAATCAGTGACTTACTGTATTCACAGAATCGCCATACAAATGATTTCAGAAAAAATGAAAAAATTGCAAAAGTCAGATCAGCTCGATAAGAAGTCTTTATTACAATCGTATTTGTGCAATCCTTATCTCGACTATAAGGACATCGTTGGCATGGCTTGCGACATGCTACTCGCCGGAATCGATACCGTAAGTTTATAAATCATTAGAGCAGCGATGGAGGGAGAGGAATGATATAGAGTAGAACGGAAAATAATAATAATATCTCGATTCTACAGACGACGTACAGCTCAGCCTTTGCGCTTTATCATTTGGCGAGGAATCCAGAGGCACAGAAGAAAGTTCAAGCGGAAGCGATGAGATTGATTAAGCAGGAGGACACTCTCGTGACTGAAAGCATCTTGAAAGAGGCTGTTTACACGAAAGCTGTTATTAAAGAGACCTTTAGACTAAATCCAATTTCAATCGGAGTTGGACGAATATTGCAAATGGACGTTGCACTCAATGGATTTCACGTTCAAAAAGGCGTTAGTTTGTTAACAAATATGACAAGTTATATTTTGCATTGAAAATTTTCGCCATTACAAAATTTGCGCTTATCGGATGATCCGATGATCCGATGATCCGATGACTCCAGTCCTATGAAATTTATTCTTATTTGACCATTTAAATTTATGGCTTATTTGCGGAAAGCGAAAACTGAAAGCCCAAATAATCATTAAAACTTTCAAATTCATTAAGCTCTATTAAGCTTTCAATTTTTCAATTTACATTTTGCAGACAAATGTCGTAACTCAGAATCAAATTTCCTGCCGACTGCCCGAGTACTTCGATAATCCAGACAGTTTCATACCTGAACGATGGACAAGGAAGATTGGACAAAACGAGAAATCCGGCATTCATCCTTACCTCGTCCTTCCATTCGGCCATGGGCCCCGATCTTGTATCGCGCGTCGTTTGGCCGAGCAAAATATGCAAATTTTGTTGCTGAGGGTAACCATACGGGCGATTATCATTATCCGAAATAATTTCATGAGTTTCGTTTGATCAGCGTCCTTGTCAATTTCAGATATGTCGACGATTAAAATTTGATTGGACCGGCGGCGAACTCGACGTCGAGTCTGTCCTCATCAACAAGCCCAATGCTCCGATTAATTTAACATTCCATCCTCATCGTACTTGAGCACTCCAGCATTCCAATATTATTAAAATATCTTTACAAAATAAATAAATACAAAACCAATCGATTCACATTATAAATATCTGTATTTATATCATTAAAAATTACAATGTAAATTTTAATTTCTTAAGTAAAACAATCGTGTTATATTTGTTTTTTGTGTGTCGTATGCGTGCGTGTGTGCCTTGGGCGCGCATGCGTTTGTTTGTTTGTTTGTTTGTTTGTGTCTGTGTGTTTGTGTGTGTGTGTGTGTCGTGTCGTGTCGTGTCGTGGGCGTGTGCGCGCGTTTAACAACTGAAATTTCGTGTAGAAAAAAAGAAAGATAAAGTACGAAAGCGCTTAATTGTAGGCCATATACTTTGGCGTAGCCGAGAATTTCGCGTACGACTTGATGACCTTTGTCACCGCCTCGAGGAAGTCTTTTTCGGTGGCGACCTTACGCCTCGCGCGGATCGCGAACATGCCAGCCTCCGTGCAAACCGAGTGGATCTCGGCGCCGGTGCTGTTGGGACAGAGTCGAGCGAGTAATTCAAAACGAATGTCCCTTTCGATGCTCATTGGTCGAGCGTGGATTTTGAAGATGTGAGTGCGGCCCTCGAGATCCGGAAGGCCAAACTCGATTTTCCTATCCAAACGACCTGGTCGCATGAGGGCAGGATCTAGAGTGTCCGGCCTGTTGGTCGCCATGAGAACTTTGATGTTTCCTCGTGGATCGAATCTTTGGGTGAAACAGTAAAATATTCAATTTCGATGTTTATTTTACTTACGAGTCTGCTTGCTGAGGCTAATTATGCGAATTGGTGCATAATAGCGACGATTGCACTTAGCTTTGATCAAACAAACCACGTCGCTCAAGTTTTAAAATAAACCATTAATGATTTATTTTCTTGATTAATTATTGAATATAAATATGCACGTCTGGATGTTAAAAGTGCATAAATTAAATTGTCGCATTAAGTATTAATAAGAATTATAAGGGAGAAATTTTACAAGATTTTCACTCCTAATACTTAAAAATTATATTGTTGTTCTAGATGCTCAATGATAAATGCAAAAATCACTCCTAGGAAGTGACGAATATCGTCCAAATTTATAAGAAACATTATTTTAATGTTATTCGGTTGTTTTTAACTTACCCATCGAGCTGATTAATAAGCTCGAGCATAGTTCTTTGAACTTCGTTATCACCGCCGGCTCCATCGTCAAATCGAGCACCTCCAATAGCATCGATTTCATCAAAGAATATTAAGCAAGCCTTTTTACTCCTAGCCATTTCAAATAATTCTCTTACCATTCTGGCTCCCTACATAATATGTCGTACATTTTAGCATTGAAAAAAATATTTGTTACATAAGGTCGATGAAAATACAGACCTCGCCAACATATTTCTGGACTAATTCCGAGCCAATCACACGAATGAAACAGGCATCCGTTCTATTAGCCACTGCTCTTGCGCATAATGTCTTTCCAGTTCCCGGTGGACCAAACAAAAGCACGCCTTTTGGTGGCTCGATACCTAAATTCACAAATTTCTCCGGCTAAATGGAATAATAAAAAATCAGTTGGCATTCAAGTTGATAACGAATAAAGAACTACAGTTGCATTGAACTTACGTGAAGTAGCGGAGTTTCCACGACTTCTCTTAATTTCTCAATTTGATCTTTACAACCACCGACGTCGCTGTACGTTACATCGGGCTTTTCTTCTACCTGCATCATGGTTACGGTAGGGTCGATCTTCGGTGGCAGTGGTATATGAATTTGGTACTTATTACGATCGACTCCCACTCTCATTCCTTCTTCAATGTCAGTCGGCGCAACCGAATCTGCAAGATCTACTACAAACTTTGCAAACTGCTTAACATTAATAATATACTTAGGATCATCGGAATCTGCATTGATAATCTTTGTGCAGCGAGCGACTTGTAGAGGCTGCTCATTTTGTAGCGCCAGTTTATCAGCTGCTAGATCCCAAAGTGCGGGCGGAGCGAGCCCCGTGTCTGACTCTTTTATTCCGGTCAGTTCATTGACCTGCTTTATTATAGTCTGAATGTCTTCTTCGACTAGTTTTATACTTTTTGTATATTGACCTTGGCCCTGAATATTATTTAGAAAAATTATAATTATACTACTTAATAAATGTTTCCGCAATGCTAATTATTTGGACTTACGTATGTTTTCAACAATGCAATATCACCCTCGTCCAGAGCTACGTTACAGCGAGAGACAGAGAGAGAGAGAGAAAATAAAATTAAATTTCGAATGACTCTTTCGGATTCAATGAAATTTTAATCGAAAAAATCAAGATATGAATATAAGAGAAATAAAAGGTGTTAACTATATATCTTACGCTTAATATCCTTCTCCTCTTTATCTTCATCATTTTTAGTCTTTCGCATATCATCTCCAAGATGATCCGGCATTTTACGCTAATATGCAATTAAAACTTATGTTGAAGAAATAGACATAAAGTATTTAATGCAACGATTTAAGATTAAAGGTTATGACCGATAAATTCGATTATAAGCAAAAACGACAAGCTGCGATCGCAAATAATGAAAGATGTGAACAATGAGAGATAACGAGTGGAAATTCCTGGCGGTAGATGCGTTAAGCTCGATAATTAGGATAAAGCAGATAACTGACCTATCGACGACAATTTAAATAATCATCAATTACATGGCTTTTTCATACTATAATAATACTTTTCATACCATAATAGATCTTTCGAATAATGCTAATTCGTTCTTATGCATCTTATGCATAATCTTATGCAGTTGAGGGCATTAAACTGGAAATATATTTCGGATAAATGTCCATGGCAAATTAGTATAGACACTGTGATGTAGGTTGCTCATGCGCAGAAACTAACCTAATCTAGCCCGCGCAGGCAAATTTATTATATAGCCGTCGCAATTTATTTGTAACTTGGCGGCTCGGAACTTATTTATAACATTTTATTGAATATACAATAAATACATTTAATAAAAAAAGTTCCATGTATTTAACAATATATTGATAAGATTGTTCTAAGGAATAAGTTTTTATTTAGTAAGGTGGGTAATTGGAAAATTATTTAAACAATGTATGCATAATTGTATTGTATAAAATAAAACTTAAATTAACTTGGCTTTTAAATAATTTTTATATTTTCACAGGAAATTTTTTCTTAATCATGGGTTAAGGAAATTTATTTCATTAATAGATAAGAGTTATGTGTAATAATACCTTCATTATTTGGAGGTTAAAATCATAGTGCAGAAAATAGGATATTGTAAGATTACTTGTATCTACTTTGCAATAAAACTGCCAAGATGGATCAAATGCTTCCGAGTCCTGGATTTAGCATACCAAGCATTGGCACACCGTTGCATCAACCAGACGAGGACCAGCAAATTTTACCAAATGCTCTCCAACAACAGCAAGACTCCCAGCAGCAACAATTTCAAATCCAACAACAAATTCATTCCATGAGTTCGATGCAAAGTAATATGATGATGCAAACACCACAAAAAACTATGCACACGTATGCGATGAGTCAACCCTTTGCTACCCCTCAAAGTATGATGCAGCCTCAAACTCCAGTATGTTTAATTATTGATATTTATAATATAAGTGATAAAATTATAATAAATCAATTTTAACATAAGTAATAGAGAAAAATTTGTTTCTCTTAAACTTACGCGTTATGTTTTAAATTTCTAATTTCAAAGAATAAAAATTTTTTTAATTCAAAGCAAAATATCATGTCCCCACTTGTTCAACCATCCAGTCAAATTGCGCCTTCGTCGATAGGACCATCCACGCCTGGTCCTATGACGCCAATGACTCCAGCTTCCGCAGATCCTGGTATTCTTCCTCAATTACAGTAAGTATCGACAATGAAGCTATTAATTTCTTTATTGTTATGTATAAAAATTATTAATAGAATGATCATTGATCTTTCTAAAAAATTGACATAAAAAAATTACAGTAGGAGCTTAAATTATAAATTATGCCTATAATGTAAACTATTTCAAATTACATATTTGATAATACTAATTATAATAATAGTAATGTACAATTTATTTAGCATTAATCTTCGTTGATGCTAAAATAGTAGCATTCCCTTAGATCGCTATAAATGTAAAAAATTTGGAATTAATGTGTATGAGAAAATCTTTTGTTACAATACTAATGATTGAGCGCTTTATATCGTAATCTAATTAGCATGATATTTCCATTATAGAAACATCGTTTCAACGGTGAATTTGAACTGTAAGTTAGACTTGAAGAAAATAGCACTGCACGCAAGAAATGCAGAATACAATCCTAAGCGTTTTGCCGCTGTTATTATGAGAATACGTGAACCTAGGACGACTGCTCTTATTTTCAGTAGTGGGAAAATGGTTTGTACAGGAGCTAAAAGTGAAGAGGATTCTCGACTTGCAGCTCGAAAATATGCGCGAATTATACAAAAATTAGGATTTCCGGTATGTAAAATCATTCTAATGTATATAATGGTATTAAATTTCAAATGCAATTATGTAAATGACATATGGATTATCTTTTGATTAGGCTAAGTTCCTAGACTTTAAAATTCAAAATATGGTTGGGAGCTGTGACGTTAAATTTCCAATTAGATTAGAAGGTCTAGTCCTTACACACGGTCAGTTCTCATCGTATGAACCAGAATTATTTCCTGGCCTTATTTATCGAATGGTGAAACCTCGTATTGTACTGCTTATTTTTGTATCTGGAAAAGTAGTACTGACTGGTAAAATTTTTGTTAAAATATTATTAATTTATTATGACATGTATATATGCATATAAAAATATGTAATTTTTGTAGGTGCAAAAGTACGTCAAGAAATATACGAGGCATTTGATAATATTTATCCTATTCTGAAAAGTTTTAAAAAGCAGTGATATCCGTCTAATGTTATTAGATGAAGTTTTAAAGGGATTGTATGTACTTTTTTTTAACCTACGTCAAACCAAACATCACAAAATATTTATATTTTTGGACATTATCACATTGGACATTATATAAAGAATTGAGATACTTTTTACTCTATTTTTCCGCCTGGATAAATTGAATTTTTAATAATGTTAATGCAGAAATAGGTGTACTGCGCTAGTCTTATAAAAAAAATAAATAAATAAATAAACAATTAAATAAAATAACAGAGAAGAAGAGGAAGAAGAAATGAAGTAAAAAATTGTAAAACAAAGAATTAATGCAGTTATACATCTGTTGTTTTAAGTGAAATTACTTATATCTGGAAAATATGTTTTCTGGTTTAGTACAATTATATAATAATTAATCAATAATTATTAAAAGCTTATTTTATTGTTAATATATATGTAATGTACACATGTTTACTAAATTGACTATACTTTAATTTAATGTTAAAGCTAGAGTACAAGATACTGATACATACGATGAATCAATACTATATTTATATTTGAGAATTACCATTAGTTATATTTTTTTTCATCATAACTGATAAAATGTTTTGTACTGTAACTAATATTAATGCATTTATTTAAAAATTGTATAAATTCAACTTTATATGGCATTTTTTTATTTATAATATTTCTTTATTATAGACCACATTATTGGTTATACAGTCAATTTTCATCCAACATGTAACTGTAAATTTCCAATCTTATTAAAATTTTATTTGTCTATCATTTAAAAATCGCCTTCCTGCTAAAAATAAAAAGATTTCCATTTTACGTAAATTTTCTTAACGATAAGCGAATCCTTAATAAAAACTTACATTCTCTATAGCTTCAAAATTCTTAATTTCAATAAGTTTCATTATATTTATTAAAAATGGCTTAATACGTTTACAATATGTTGATCTCTTTTCATCATCAATATCCGAGGGTAGTTTATCTAGAATATAATTTATCGCACAATCGATGTCTTCGGTTACTCTTAGTTTATGTATTAAGTTATGTGATATTTCTCCACTATTATCTTCAATTCCTATATTTAAAAACAACTCGTCTAATCTATTGCGAATGTCGGGCTCTATCTCTTGTACAAATGAGCCTTCCATTGATTCGACTAGTTTACAACTATAAAATAATGTTATAAGATTTTGATGAAATATACGTCAGTTTAAAGTATTAATGAAAAGTCGCCGTTCTTGTTTATGTACTTATTAGTGATGTCAGCGAGATCGTCAATATCGTCTTTGCTCGATATTTCAGAGCATCCTTCTTCTTCATCGGATATTTCTATTATTTCATTATCATCTCTCTCTAGTTTCTCCTCCCGAGTTTTAATATCATTTAAATTGTCTGTGACTTCCGTTAACATCTGATCGATTGTCTCTGTAGTATCCGTTTCCTTTATAGCCGTAATATGTGATAACATATGACGCACCTGTTATCATTAATTACAGATAAAATATGGATAAAACGAACGCGTCGTCTGGTGTTTGAATTAGCATAGAAAAATTAAGAATACGAACAGCAATAACTTTTTTATATTCACTGTTATCGTCTATGGAAGAGTCACTTGATTTACTAACGGACATTTCACCTCGAGAGAGAATACCTGCATGATTTATCAAATCTTGTTCTTCCCCGTCGAGCAATGGCGATGCAGCCCTGCGATTTTCTTTATCAATGTCTAATTTTAATTCCTCGATTGGTAATAAATGTTTAGATTTATTGGATAAAAATATTATGTCTCTGGAAACGCAATCCATATGCTTTTCCTGCTCTTTTAATATACGTTTGAGTTTGCCTAACTCAGACTTATACTCCAATTCTAACTTATTAATCTCTTCCTGAAATACGAACAAAACGCATATGTATTTAGTATTTAACTGGACGAAATGTTAATTCACCTCGGACATTAGCTTAACGTTCAGCGTTTTACGCAATTTCAGCAACTCCTCTTCTAGAACAGTCAAGATACTCAATTTCTCTGTATTATCTTTAATCAAATCCTTCAATACTTCAAGCTTCTTCGTATATTCGTTCTTAATACCTAAAAATTCATAAATTAATAACAACAAATTTACAAGTCAATTAAAATTAACGCGCTCTAACTTTTTATTTTATTATCGTAAAATTTGACTAGAGAGCTGGTATTTGCTTTAATATCATCAATCAGTCTTCGTAAAACGGCTTCGTACAACGTCACCAATGATATTTGTTGACCGAATTTCTGTTGCATTTTTTTTTTAATTTTCCTTTTCAATTTATCTATTTCTTCTTTCATTAATTCACAGCTGACTTTTATTTTACGCAGATGTATCTTATCGTTTCTGTAAGCCAAGCAATTATCTTTTATTTTACATTTTATTCCATAATTATTTTCAGTGTAAAAATTAATATCAAATATTTATTAGGCGGTCGGTGGTACGTGGGAGGGGGATGGGGAAAGGAGTAGTAGAAATTTAATTTCAATAAACGTCTCTATCGAATTCCTTAGAATTTTAAATAGCAAACGTTTAAAATACGAAAAAAATACTATGCAAGTATAAACGCTATTAATCAAAAAAAAAAAAAAAAAATAAATAAATAAAAAAATAAAAATAAAAATAAAAATAATAAAACAACAACAACAACAAAAATAGTCGATATAATTTTATTCAACGAGTGAATATAATTATTATTCCATTGTAAGTACGACAAGCCGATCTATTTTTCTAACATTAAAATATAAAATTATTAAAAACTTGTTAACGATTAAAATTCTTTCGAAATCATTCTCATTACCCCTATCATATAAATAAATAATAAATTAATAATTAGTTAAAAAAAAATAAGTTACATTATATACGTAATATATCGGTTTAATGGCGTTTGTTTGTTTGTTTGTTTGTTTGTTTGTGTTTTTTTTTCGTAATAAAGCATATATTTCATAAGCTTACTTACTTATATTTCGTCATCTGTTCAGCTGTCTCATTCTCAAGTTGACCTACTCTTGCATATAATTGAGATAATCGATTTTTGTCAAAAATTATACAATTTTGAATATTTTCAGGCTTATCTCCCTCGGTAAAGCATTGAAGTTGATGCAACTTTAGTATAACCGTGATATCAATGTCGTTCAACTGGTTCTGTTTGTCGGTCTAATTAAAAATTGTAAAGCAAATGATTAAAAAATTAATTATCCGAATATTATAGTTCGTCTAATAATTTCAGAAATAATATAAGCGATAGTTTGACATAAAAAATGCTCGGTCATAATATAATGGAAGAGTTTTGAAAATTTGATAAATATTGTCGATGAGAGAGAGAGAGAGAGAGAGAGAGAGAGAGAGAGAGAGAGAGAGAGAGAAAGAGAGAGAGAGAGAGAGAAAGAGACAGACAGACAGACAGAAGACAGACAGACAGAAATGAAATAAAAAAATAAAATTATTATAAAATTAATTCATTTAACTGCTCATTCGTATAAATTATTATTCACAATGATAGACTAAAGTAGTAAATGCTTTAAATTAAACGTAAATGAAAATTGAAGTTGACGAATAATCAAATTATCAAATTCTACACCTAACTGAAGCGCCATGAAATATTATTATAAGTTTTCACGAACACTTTTTAATGTAATTGGAGAACATTATTCCATTAATTAATATTCCGATTAAAGCCAAAATACTTTCGCTAACTCACCAACAGTAATTGCAATTTATCGCGATTCTCCTGCAGCTCAACATCGATCATCTTCAAACGTTTACGATGAACATCGATCTTCTGTTTCCAATTATTGATCAGCGATTGCTTGGAATGAATGCGAGATTCCATTTCGTATCTCATTTCGCGCAAAATGAAGGCCTCGTCGTAAAGTTGCCTATTGCATTCCGGTGGGCAAATATTCTCATCCAAGTGGATCGTTTCTAGGTTGTCGCTCGCGTCGCTATCCTTTCCCATATCATCGTCCGAACTGCTGATGCTCATTGATGACTCCGACTCCGACGAAGCTACGGGGCCATTGATGAATTTTTTTTTTTTTTTAATACATTCAGTATATTAGTTGGATTATGCAATGAGTTGGTTCAATTTCATTTGCAGCCTTGACATTTGATTTTAGTACTTATCTCGAATTGGAAACTTTCATTTGACAATAAAAAATTATAAATAAAGAAATTAATGAATAATGAGTAGAAAGCAAATATCTAAATTTGGAAATATGTAGATTTGTATATCAATGGATAATTTAATTGACTTTTCTCATGTAAACGCGGCCCGTTAAAATTTTATTCAAGAGTCACGCTGCAACAAAATTGTCCGTATAACATTTTGTCGTTTTTCTTTCGCACGAATACCATCGGCTTCCGCTGAATGGGTTTTGTACTTCTTTTGACAAATCTTCTTTAAAAAACGATAATATTTATTATTCTTTATTGAATTTATATATCGCGTTGAATTCTCGTTTATTTTTTCCTGAATTTTTGAAATCTTGAAAGTTTTGTCTTCGACTTTACTAATAAAATTATTAATCTGTAAATACAAAAAGAATAGTAAAAATTTCATTAATCGTTTGTCATTGAGTAAAACCGTTTGCAGGAAATTGCCAGGGAATTCATAAGCTATTCGTCGCTTTTACCATTAAAGGATAACGTTAAATTATTAATCGAAATTACTCAAAACTTACACAACTAACTTCCTTAATCTTAGCCTTCTGATTGCTATTGATAATTTCGTTGAGCTCCATTTCCATTTTCTCAAACTTTCTAAGGACAATCAATTCCTGATGGATCGTCAATATGAACAAATTTACGTAAATCGTCTCATAAACAATTTCAAATCTCTCTTTTTCGAGCTTATCGAGCTCCTTATCAAATGATTTATAACTTTTATAGACATGATTCAGTATCTGATCTTGCTCGTAAATTTTTTTTACTACGCGTGCACGTTTCATTTCACGCTCTAATTAATGTCAAAAATTATTTTTCAAATAATGCTAGATACTTCAAGATTTGCTTACACATGACATTTATAAAAACAATAAACGGACTTTTGCTTTATATTAAAGAATATACTGTTTTGCAGGCAATTATTACATTTACATTTTGTAAATACGCGATGAAATCAATATTAATTAAATGAATTTTGCAAATCTCTCTGTAATCGTTATAAATGAAAATTCTTTTATATCCGATAATTTTTTTTCTTTTTCTTTTTCAATTTTATCAACACGTTTTTATAAGCAAATGTTATCTTAATAAATAAGTAAGGAAGCATTTTAAACATATAAGCTAAAAAATATTGTTTGTTTTATAAAATGGAAGAAAGAAGAAAAATAATATCGTTTTAAGCGACTGATTAAATGATTTATAATATACTTATTCAATACCCAATTTACTATCAACTTTTTCAGCTTCTTCAATTGCAGCTAAGACATTTGCCGGTACAGTATTGCGAACTGCTCGTATTTTTGCATTAGTGTTATAATTTATTCCATTCTGCGTACTTTCTGATTGCAAAGGATCTAATAAAAGTACCTCATATTCTTCATCCATGTCGTGCACAGGTAAAGCTGAAATATTTGTTTGTTTTTTCATTTTTGTTTCTTTCACGCGATCCTCCATTAAAACATAGGTTTCCAGCTAAATAATAAAAATACAATTATAAAAGTGATATTGAATCAAATTAACATACACAATATATTTCAAAGGTTTAATTTCTGTCTCTCCATGAATAAAGATAAATGAGCTTACTCGAAGTAATTAGAATAAATCTTCACTACGTTAGAACGAATTTTCGTAAAATAGTAATAATAACAATTATAATAAATAATAATAATAGTAATAATAATAATAATAATAATAGTAATAATACTTAAAATAATATAACCTTTAAATTGTGTTCTGGAAATTCCACATCCTCATCGATCTCTGGCAAATTTGGTACAGGTTTTTGTGCATTTTCAGGTATTTCAAGATGAATATTGTTCAATATTATTGTTAATTTCTTAACCTCAGCCCGTAATTCAATTTTCTTCGTTCTTAAATCTTTGAGTCTATTATTGAAATTTTCACGTCGAAAATGAATCTAACATTATGATTAATTTAGAAAATAATTTTTTTAAAAGCACTCTTAAAGTATATTTACAAAGCTTTCGATTCAATTACCTTTCTTCTATAATCGATTATTTGGACTGATTTACTCGAAATTGTCGGAAAGTTTAAACTCATGTTATCGAAATTTAACGATGACTTAAGCTTAAAATCGCCTATTGTCCTTTTCACATGTTCAATCACACTTTCATCCTCTGGATTCATTGCTGTTAAATTGGGCTTTTGCGCTTCTAAAACTTTCCACTGTACAAATTAAAATTAGAATTCTTAATGCAGAGGAAAATGGAGCAAATCATCTGTAGAACAATAAATGCTTTTACCTCTTCTTCTTCCTCTTTTAATTTTTTTTTCAAACATCGATATTTCTTTAACAATTGATTAATCTCATCGGTAAGATGAAATTGAATTGTCCGCGGGCTTAAATCCTTTAAGAAGCTTTCTGTTATCATCGCTCCTTTATCATTATATAATTCTTCGTTCATCACGGATCTTAAAATTAAAATGAATTAAAATACACATAAACATGATATTTATAATTTTATAACTTTATAAATATTGCATTAAAAGACCTTGAAAATTTAGTTGCATCTATCTCTGATTGAAAATCTAATGTTTCGGTCTCTATTTACAAGAATGTTTTGAATTAATAAACATTGCATTTGTGTAGATTTGTGTAGATCAGTTAGTCCAAGGATTTCCAAATTACAATTTACTTACTATGTACTGCAATACTTTCCTCCTCCTTTGGAATATATTGCCGATCGATTAAATATGCTTCAGTTAACTTTAATTCACGTAAAGAGTGAACCATCGTATCTGGCTTTCTAATTGAAATATCGATTACATTTTTAATTACAGAATTTACCTTTATATTCGTAAAGCAATAGTTATTATTCTCTTACAATATCTTTTGTACGGCAAAGGGCAAACAAGTAATTGGCTCGATAAAATGATCCATCAGCTTTTTCAATTTAAGTTTATGTTTTTCTACGTTATGCTCTAATTTTTTATAAACAAGATCCATTTCATTATCTAGATGAACATTTAAATTCTGTATAACTCTTGGATCAAGTTGCAATTCTTCATCGGTAAGCCTCTGGGATAATGGTAAAGCGTTGTTTCTAGTATTTAACGAAAGAAAGCGATTGAATTGTTAATGATTAAAATTAAATGTAATATTGGCATTTAAATGCGGACACAAACGAAATTATTACTTTTTCAAAACTGAATTATATTTTTCATTTAATTCATGAAGCATCGCATAGGTTTTGGTTTTATTTTCTTTAGCATTAGCCAATATTCGATTCTTTTCTATTAGTACGATTTCGTCTTCTAAACTTAGATAATCTAAATCCTCTATATCCGCTACATCAGTTACAAACTAAATAAAAAACAAAAAGTTAATTGCTCATAAATTTATATTTTTTTCAAAGCTTTTAGAATTATAGTTATGATTGATTAAAGTTAATCAATTGAAAATATATATATTTTTTCATAATTACAATATACTTTTCAAGGTTGCTTAATTTATATCGCACAAAGTAATTTACGTGGGGAAATCTTACTAATTCGCTCGCTGGCTTTACAACGGGAATGTCAATTTCTGGAGCAGGGGAGTCATCATTGATGTAGTAAGAAAAAATATTGCCATCGTGACCACAAGTTATTAGCGTTGTCTGATCGTAACTTAAGCAAATACTTGATATAATACCATTAAAATTATCATGCATTGGTAAAACCCAATAATTAGAAAAATCTGTAACGTTCTCTGGATTAACTTTACAGACGCGTATCTCACCGTGTTCCATTCCAAAAATCACGTATTTTCGATTTTGACTGAAATAATAGGTATTTAAATAATAAAATTGTAAGAAATTTGCAGAATACAAATTTCTATCTCATATATATATATATATATATATATATATTTCATTTAGAATTTTGTAAAGTTTACTAACATTGTAATATTAATTATAATTTTCTTACATAATAAGAACAATTTATTTGTATTTCATTGGAGATTATCAGCACTTCAGTTACCGAGGAAGATTTAATTGCATTTAATCTCCGACATTAATACTTACAAATATAAAAATGATCGAATCTCATCGTCATTGCCATCATCGATTAAGTAACTATTAATGTGTACAGTTTTATTATTGGGTTCGGGATTGGTATATTCATACATGAATCCAGCATCGTACCCAGCCATTGACAATAGTATAGAATTTCTTGTTGTGTACATTGCAAGTAAAACTGCATTCGGTACTTCAGGAATGTAAATATCAGGCAATGAAAAATCTTCTTTTATCCCTTCTTCTGTTATTCGAATAATTTTAAATTAATTTCATTTCAAACGCTTCTATTTCAATTACATAATTATTTTAAAAGTCGATACAGAAATAATAGTGTTTATTAGATGTACTTTAAACTGTTTACCAAGAAATAATTCTTCATCAATGTCTATTCCAGGATTCTCTTCTCTCATTATTCTCAATTCTTCTTTTTTCTCTGCAAGCTTTTGCTGCTTCTCTTTTTCAGCAATTTCACGAACTTGCTCTCTAATTATAAAAGACTTTACGGATTGAAACTTAAAAATTATCAGATTGCACTCAACTAATTTATAGGATTTCGTAGTATAGGTTTGTGGCTCTTCTGGAAGAGTTACTTCAATGCAGTCCCCATACAAACAACCCATAAATAAAGTTGTAGCCTATAATTATGGAAATGAAATTTTCAAATTCACTACTCAAATGAAACTATATTAATTTTAAATTACAATTCATTTGTATTTGTATTTATATTGCAACAATTATATGTTCAGACTGAATATATATATATATATATATATATAATATTATAGATATACTTTAGTCATCTTAAGAAGGTATCATTTAATTTTGTTTAAATTGTCTTACATAATCAGGTTTCCAAGTCATAAAAGTGACGTGTGAAGGTATTTCAATATATCCAATCGGAATTAAATTCGGCCTCGACTCTTCAACTTTAATATTAAATACGAAAACAATATTATCTTCCCCTGCAGTTGCTAATAATCTGATGATATAATATGAAAAAAGAAAAGAAAAAGAGTTAATACATTTTTAAATTAGTAATATATGTTTGCTTGTAGAAGCGCATAGGTACTTGTTATTTGGATTTATCGACATGCAAGTGATTTTCATTGTATGGGGCTTTAAAGCTTGAATTAATTTAACATTGGCAGCATCATTGTTTTCAAAATCAAATAGAGCCAAGTTGAAAATTCGAATCACTCCGCTATTGAATGCACAAATTATTATCGATCCAGTCGGTCCCACCTTAAAAATAATTAAAAATTTATCGGCATTATTCAATCTTAAGCAATGTTTCACAAATAAATAATTAAATATAATAACAACCTTTATTGACCTTGACCTAATCCAAAAGTATTATTACTTTAAATTTATTATGTTAGATAAAGATATTGCTTATTAATTAATTACATAAATTATAAAAATATAAATATAAAGGTAATTATACAAAGCTGGACATTAATTATAAATGATATTTGAATAGAAATGCGTGATGCATCCTTTTTCAAATAATAAATACCCGTATATTCGCATAATGGCGATTATTTACAGAATTATAGAAATTATACGCACAGAACATGGTAACCAAATGACGTGGCTGGCCAGTTCGTTAAATCGATGTCTCAATATCAACGTCCTCTCATGATAATTATAAAGATGCAGATAACTATCCTGACCAATGGTCACTATATAAGGACCCCAATCCGATGTGTCCATGTCTAAAACTGAGTCCGCGTGGCAATAAAACAGCTGTTTAGCATATTTTAATTGATGCATATCCTCCAGTAGATGCAACAACCAAATGCCGCCAGAGCCGTCCTTAATACATTATGTTCTTACGTAGTACGATTAATGTAAATTTTGTTTATATATTATTTATTAAACTTCGATGATTGTAGGTATTGATTCGAATGTATGAAATATATTTCGTAGAATTTAAATCATGCAAAATATAAATTTAAGAGGGCAATTATTATGATTTTTCGTAATTTGTGTGTGTGTGTGTGTGTGTGTGTGTGTGCGCGCGCGCGCGCGTGTGTGTGTATTAGGCTACTCGATCGTTAAATTCAAAGACCAAAAAATAAACGAAAATTATGCATTTATGAATATAAATAATCTTATTTAATACAAGTGACTTAATAAATTAAAGAAGAATTTTTTAAATTAAATAATTAATATGAATGAAACTACTATACTAAGGAAGCTAATGAATGTGATATATTACAATGAAATTCAAACATTATAATACAAAAAATTTACTTTTTTAGAAAATTTCGAACGTATAGTCATTTATAATTGTTGTATCGAAATATAATATTATTAGTGTATAGATAACGACATCTTTCATCTTTATTTAATGAACATGCGTTAAGAAAATCATCTACCTGCGCGTACCAAATACCATTATCGGGGTCATTTTGGTCTTGCTTCAAAATCTGCATAAGCATAGCTGAATTTAAATAATCACTTTTTTCATTGCTTGAAATTTGAAATTCATAAATTGGCTCGATTTCGAGAATATTACTGGTCTCCGATGGCATTGCAATATCAATTGTCTCATAGTACCAAACACATATGCGGCCGTCGGTGCCTAAAATTAATACAAGTAATATAAAAACAATAATATGAAAATTAAAATTCTAAACGACAATTTTTATTGATATGAATTTTACCAATTGATATGAGCTCCCCGTTTACATATTCAAACTGCGACACATAACCGTCGTGGCATGGTTTCTTATTTTTTCTGCTCACCTCGATCTTTATCAAACCTTCTGCCCAAACTAAAATATTACCCCACTCACAACCCGATATAATCTATTTAAGAATAATTCATTATTGTCATTTGCCAAATAGCTAAAGCAATAATAACGGGAAATAAAAATAAAATGGATATACTTTTTCATCCGGCATTGGATAGACGCTAACAATGTCCGAAATTTCAGTTTTGCCGAATCTTCCAAGTTCCCCTTGTAATTTAAGTCCAGTAAACGTTTCCGACATCTTCCAGCACTTAATATGGCCAGAACCGCATGTGGTCATATGACCGTGTAACGTGTGCGAAAAAACAACATTAAAAACGTCTTGACCATGGGATTTGCATTGAAGTACGACTGTAGACCTCTGCCAGTCCCATATAGTAATCAGGTAATCAGGATCACCTCCTTGCGATACTAATCTCAAACCATCTGGACTATAATTACGTGTATGGATTATAATAAATAACTCGTGTACATTAACATTGATGAGTATTATTTAAAATAAAAATTAATACATATATATTACATTGCCGTCTTACTTACATGTACTACCGATAAAAAGTTATTATTATTATTATTATTATTATTATTATTATTATTATTATTATTATTATTATTATTATTATTATTATTATTAACCATTTAAAATGTTCGTGATTTTTAAAAATTTTATTTAACATCTTTAAATATTAATTTTTCTTTTTTAAAGCGGAAACTAAAATTTCACGCTACAACTTCGACCTTATGATCAAACAAAATTATCTCACTTACGGAATACATAAACATTAGGCTTAATTTACCTGTATCTTATAGTAGAATAAGAACACGTGGTGCCTTTATGTAAAACTGTTACAATTTCCATACTGGGCCATTCGTAAATAATTAAAGGCGGATTTACTCCATTTTCGCCAATGGCAATGTGATTGAAAACTGAATTTTTCTAAATAAAAAAAGTCTAATATTCATCTTTTCACATATAATTGCTTAGATATTGATATATCGTATCTCATAATTGTACGAAAAATTTACTAAATTCTTGAACTTTTTAACTATTTTGAATTCAATTCAACTTGAAAAGTAAAAATATACTATTTTAATTCGCTTGGGTATTTATAAAATTTTGTTTCATTTTGACAACTTTTTTTTTTAAAAAAACTTCCATTTTAAATATAAATCGAATATTAATATCAGGATATTACTTATCACTATTATGATGAAATTGAATGGCGATAGAAAATGTATCATAAATTAAAATTCTCCCGACATTTTTATAATAACTTAAACATTGGCAATGCTCGTTTAAAATTTACATTACTATCTATAAAATTAATTTCTTTTGAATAAGAATTTGCTAATTGATTAATTAATTACGATAGATGTATCGTTCTCCTACAAATAAGTAATATTGACTAAATATTTGTGAAATTTTTAAATATCGATATAATAATATATGTACAATTAATTAATGTTATCTGTTCACTATTTATATTGAAATAATCTTGTGTGTTTAATAATTATATAAAATATTAGAAAATATTGTAAAATATTTTATCATATTTCCTTAAATTAATTATATGAAATGTAATGAAGTACGATATAATATATTTACATAAATAATTATAAGAAATAATAGTTTAAATTATTCAAAAAATTTTCCTCGAAAAAAAAAAAAAAATATATATATATATATATATATAATCAAGAAACAAATAAAGGAAAATAAGTTTAAATTATTTAAATATTATATAGCTTAATTATGTTGAAAATAATGAAAAAATATAATATAATTGTTCTAAAAGATTGATGTTTACTTAATGTCGCATATATTTTATTTAAGATAATATCTTCAATATTTTACTATATTTTATATAATAAATAAATATAAGTAATATGATTATATTGCTATTATGTTTAAAATAAAAAATAACTATGTACAAATGAAAATAAAAACTTTATCAATATAGCATTTTTGATGAGACAATAACTTCTAAGGTAGAATTTTTTCTTAATTAATTAATTTATTGAAATACTATGTAATTAGTTCACCTACAGTAATATCACCAATGCCGCCGCCAGTAGAACATCGTCTGAACGTTATAATATTATTTTCAATATTAAAGAAGTGAATTAAATTACCAGAAGCGAAAATCAAAGTATTAGGATCTGCCACACAGAGATTAAATCGCTTCCGACAATCATAACCAAATGAATGACTAAAAGCAACTGCTAAGGATTGCTCGTTGTTATTACATAAGACATTGCGATTTATAATATTAATAAGGATACATAAATTCCAAGATATTAAATGGAACGGTTCCATTTTCAGAAAGCCTGGGCTTTGATATAAAATCTTCTGAATGATATGCTATAGAAACCGATGTTACAGAAGTCGATTCGTTATCCTCATTTTGCCACGATGTATTGTCTTGGGGGAATGAAAAAAATTACTTGCAATTGAATTTCAAATAAAATATACAATATTATCTTACCATCTTCCTCCATTTCTTATTATATTAATACTAATTTAGAATACAACTAGTATGATTAAGCAATAAGGAAAAAAATTGTTTCTATAGAAACAATATTGAATCAATATAAATTGGACATATTATGTAATCACAAATGAAGAAAAATGAAGGGAGTAAAATTAAGTTTTAAGATAGATTTAAAATAATAAACAATTTTTACAACAATTAGATAAAAACATTATTTTTATTTACAGTAATTTCTATTGTGTATTATCGAACTATGAGAGTGTAAGATCGTTTTTGTTTTCTACATTCTGAGACAGAATTTCTTCGATTAATTTCTGGGCAGATAAAAATGCATCGTTAGTATTATCATTTAAATATTCGCTTATATACTGCTCGTGCATAGACTCGTATGCTTCTTGAGCTGAGGATAGTAAAACATAATTTACACTTATTTTTTCACAAATTATTTGGTATTTGTTTTGAAATAGAGCTTACATCTTATTGGTAAATGGCCAAAAAGTTCACACGCTGCAATAATAAAATCATTAGTATTTTTTATACCGTAACTAGGCTTTCTTGCCCAAATATAAATGCGAATATCATCAAAAATGTCTTTATCTTTGTCTGTTTTAGATCTAGTAATATATATATTATGTGCAATTTGATTTTCCTGAAGGCAGGAAACAATTTTATATGCATAAGAGGCGTATTTATTAATATCCTGATAATCGAATGATGAAAACTTAATACAAAATCCCTTGGCTGGAAAGTCATGAAGAATGTAAACTGAGCCAATAAAATATTCCAATGACTAAAAGTAAATTAAACGACTTATTTTAACATTCTGTACAAACATCACCTACTACACTTCTCTTTTATTCGTCATTATTATACTTACTATCGACTCAAGTAACATCCTATGATTAAGATAATAAAAATGCCAATGTAAATGATTAACAGATGCATTTGCGCATAAACTATTAAATAAGACTCTCATGTTCCTGCAATATTCAATTTCATAAATTACAATTGTTCATAAAATTGTGCAAAATATTTAAATTAAATATTCACTCTGAATTACTAAGTAGAACTAATTCTATAGCTTTTTTAAAGCTATGCAATGTTGCTTGCTGTGGCAATCCACTCGTACATTTGGACACGAATAAACTGTGACCCCAAAGAATAGGACTAACATTAACAGCTATAATATCATTTTCATCGCAATTTCCAATATTGAATAATATTTCATTCTGTGGTATTTTCATGAAATTAAATTTCTCAGAATCGAATGGCTGAATCATCGATGTAATATCATCTGGTCTCCTTCGCAATGTTGCTCTTTCAATATTTAACTACAATTGAAATATCATTATGAACATTTCATAGAAATTTATAATAATAAGCGACTCATTTATCAGACCTGAGCATAAAATCCGTATTTTCCTTCGACAACTTTAGTTTGTTGTACTTTCACAGAATAACGAAGCAAATTATCTTCTTCAGCTTTAGCCCACTTTCTTTTCAATAATATATCAAAATTTGAGTCTTCATTATTGCATTGAACTTGAAAATGAAAATCTTTCTCGGTATAAGAGAAAAATTCGACAGCACTCTTTGCCATTTTTAAGATAAATTACTATTGTATTTAAAGAATCACAAAAGTAATCCTAACCTTAAAAAGTTACTTAAAATACCTGGATTTTAAATTATAAGTAGCACTCTGTCATTTTACAAGATAATCTCAAGCAAATAATTATTAGTGATTAACGAACTTTATATAATAATAAATTAACTTAAAATAATTACTTATTATTTAAACTAATTAAATAATGTAATTTTATATGATAATGCTATGCATGCTAACCGAATACCTAGAAATACTGTATACATAAACCTATCATAAATTAAATCAACAACGATTTATTTATATCCCTCGATGAAAACTACTTACAAGTACTTGACTAAAAGATTGTTTTGAAGGAAAAGAAATTCCACTACTCTTTTTACAAAATCTTTATTATAAAATAATATTGGTCTCTAATATTACTCCTAAGAGTTTTAATGATAATTGATAAAGTATCTACTTACAATATAATATGTATAATGACTTGATAATGTATGTATATTCTTATATATTTACAAATATAAAATTCCAAACAGTCTTTTTATTCTAATTTACACTGTTAACAATAATAATGTAAATAAAAATACTAATTGTCTAATTGCTCGTACTATATTCATTTTCTTGTAAATGTATTTTTAGTTTCCAGGTACATCTTGTGAAAATCTTTAAAAAAAAAATTCATACAATTTGAACATCATACTAAGTGTACACACCAATATATATAAATTACATTCTTAAAATTATATCCCAGTTCATATGTTTTTTTTTATAAATTATTTCACAATAGTAATTTACACTATGATTAGCACTTCTACCAAATATCACAATATAGTGATAAAAAAACTTGGCAATATTTTAAATAATATCAATGAAATATGATAATATTGCCATTTAATTTCATCGCATTCATTGGTTAGAATGAAAAATTAACTTTTTACAGTTTTACAGTTTTTACAGTAAATAGAATTTATCAAATGTAAGATAAATATTTCTCACTTATAGAAAAAATAAGACATACAAACATTTCACTTAACTTGAACAAATTTACAATTTTCACATATTTGGATACAATCCGTAATAAGGTGTCTTAAATTGTTTAGAGTTCATACTATAAACATCAGATTCTTGAATCGTGTATGGCTCGAGCACATTGGGTGTCATTGATTTCTGAGCGTGTACATTCGTAATCATGTATTGGCAGGTGGACGGTACAGCCGTTATAGACTCGTCAGTTATTAATTCATCGATTTTCTTCTCGGTAAAAATCAGAAGCTGTGGCGCATTATTACTGTCATTCTGTGGTACTATGCTAGTATTATCATTCGGATGTAGAGAGACCGAGTATGTTGTTTGATTCGCAGCAACTTGCATCGCCTTACATTTCTTTGTGTGTGCATACAACGAACCAGCATTGTTATACCTCTTGGAACAAATCTTACAAGCGTAAGGTCTTTGACCTGTGTGAGTATATGTGTGCTCGTTCAAAGATGTGAGTCGTCTGAAAGATTTTGTGCAGATTTGGCATTGATACTTGGCTTCTCCCGTATGCATAGTGATGTGTCGAGCCAAGGTGTTTGCTCTGGCGAAAGCTCTGCTACAATATTGACAAATATACGGCTTTTCTCCGCTATGCGTTCTAAGATGAAGTTGCAGATATGTACTTTTGGTGAAAGCTCTACTGCACACGTTGCAAACATAAGGCTTTACACCTGTATGAGTACGCATATGAGCTACTAACGAACCACTTTGTGCAAAGCATTTGCTACAGACTTCACACAAGTAGCGCTTCTGTACATCGCGAACCCGTTTATGTCTTTCTTCGTGATTGGCCAGTGATTGAGGCTGTGCAAAGGCCTTCGGACACAGCGAACATTTATACGGTCGATTACATTTATCCTGAGGGCAAAATAAGATTGTACAAATTTCTCTGATTAACGGATAAATAATATTCGTTTAATTAAATCAATAGGCCATACCTTTTTCCGAGCAACGGATACATTATTGTCGTCCGACGATTCGTTGTCTGAATCAGATTTCCCAAACAGTTCCTCCTTGTGTTTTAATTGCTGGTGCTCTCGAAGCTTGTCAGGTCTTGAGAAATCCTTACTACATATCGAGCATTTATGTTTAAGGCCAGAATGTGTTAGGAGATGCCTTTTGAGATTTCTTAAAGTTGCGACGAGTTTACCACATTGATTACACTGTATACTAGCTGCGGGCATATCGTCATCCTCGCACTGACCATCGTCGTCGTCATCGTCATCGTCGTCATCGGCTTCAGATTCCTCCGTATCGTCTCTATAAATACCTCCGCCTTTGCACTTATTCTCTTGAGAGACTGTTGCTAAAATTCTTGATTGCGAAGACGGCTCTTCACTTATTGGATAAGAAACGCTTTTTAAAGTTTCCGAATGGGAAGTGATTTCAGCATTTATTTGATCAGAAATAACCTCAGCGTTCTCAGAGGGCAAAGTAGTTTTTGTATTTGTCCGAGCAGCCTGTGAAACTATTGGACCTTTATTCAATTCGCTTAATAGTTTATCGTTATAATCCGGATGCGTTGTAATATGAGCCATAAAAGACTTATGATAAGTAAATTGTCTGGAACAAAATTTACAGACAAATTTATTATTTTTCATTTCATCCATACTTTCGACCAATAAATTGTTCTGCTCATAATTAATAGGGTCGTCGATCTTTTTAACCCAACCGGATAAACGTCGCATTCTTGTACTTTCCATTATTTTTTCTTTCTCCAAGTTCACGCCGTGAGTGACCAACGCATGATTTTTCACTTTATCGACCGAGGAAAATTGCTCGTCGCATAAATAGCAAGTATAAACTATTTCCAGATGCCTTTTGTGAATCACAGCGTGTTTTTCCAGCAACGACAGGCTGGCAAACGACTTTATGCAATAATTACATTTGTGACGTTTTGTTCTCAATATTAATGGCTTTTCATCGTCGCTTTGATTAAAACTTTCGAGTATTTCCTTTGATTTCAATTCACCAGAATCAGCTTTGATAATTAATTCGTTCTTCATCTCGTATTGCTCTTCGTAAGTTATTAAAGCGTGCTCCCTACTATTCACGCTTTCCGATATTCCACCGCTCAATTCAAAAGTAATTGCATTACTATTTTCTACAATATTCTCTGCCCCAATCAAACTATTCGATTCCATTTGAACTTGCTTTTTACATGTTTCACTTTCTATATCACAACTATTGGCAATATCAAAAATAAATTGTTCATGATTATTCTCACTATGTTCGTGTTGTACCGACATGCAGGGGCCATTGATATTCTTTTGCAAACAAGGTACCATACTTTCCAATGTATTTATAGTTTCAATGGATTTTACAATTGATACCGAAGGCCAATGGGTCGTTGATTGTCCAATGAGAAGAGCTTGGCGAAGATCATGATCGCTTCTTTCTACCTGACACTTAAAATTGTACGACATGTACACCAAATTTCGACAGTTTGTACAGATGACCGACGGTAAGCCATCATTCTTTTGAATCTGCAAAATTAAGCGCATAATTTAGAAGCTTATTACAAAAATTATTAACTTTTATAATAGATTTGGATGAAATATTTTAATAAATTTCATTGCCATTGTCGCAAAAATACTAAACTTTAACCTAGACTTTTGTCACCACTTAATTGACACGCGCGCGTCAAGCCATGGAATAATAATAATTTAAACGATAAATTTAATTATCGGCCATTTAGGTGATTAATTTAAAAACACATAAACAACAAAACAAACGATTTTCATTATTAATAATTATTATAAAGTACAATTAGAATAAAATGGCTAAATAAAGTACTAAATAAGAGGCCTTTGAGCTTAATAAAAATTTATACTAATAACGATGCTCTTTTAACGTTAAAATTTCCCCCTTGTTGCATTTAATGGTTCAATTAATATTAGTTAATAGGAAAATGGACTACAATTAGATTCGTGTTACATAGGCTACATACAAAGACTAAGCCTCGTATCGACACAACAATGCACAATGTCTCTTCAAAATGTCTCTTGAAAATCAAGGGAAGATAAAATAAGAAGAAAAAAAAAAAGGTACACGTAACAATAATATTTCATTGTTTTCAACGAGGTGAACGAGTCGTACGTTGATACGTACTTCCGAAGATTAAAATTATTCGAATGTGGAAATTATATTTGGAAAAGCATTGCTACCACCGATGGAGTATGTACAGTTAGCAATTAAAAAGAATCGTGTATTCGTTGGTTTAATCGCGCTGCTGAATAAAGCCTTTTTACATTATGCCTAATTAATTATACATACACTCTATAATCATTAATCATCGAACGCGTCGAGAAAGTCGTGTTTTCGTTTCTTCTCCTTTCAAACGGAGCGAGCGAGGTCGAGTGAAACCCCCAAACCTCAAAACAAAAAAACAAAAAAAAACAACAACAACAACAACAACAACAACAACAATATAAATAAATAAAGAAAGAAGAGTAAAAGGAGGAGGAGGAGGAGGAGAAGGAGGAGGAAGAAGAGGAGGGTCGGGTCGAACGGAGCCTAGAGCCCGATGATTAGGCGACACACGTTCGAAAGAATAGGCTTTTAGAAAGGCCGATTGCAAATATAAGCCGAGGTCACAACGATGGCCTTTGAAAGAGTCGCGCGGTCAAAGAAATCGGAGACTCCACCGTGTAGGGGACGATAAGGACGGATAAGCCTCCGGTTGTTGGGCGCCCGTGGTCTAAGCTCGTAGTAAAATCGGTCTAACCTGTACGGCGGCGAACGCCATGAGTTTCTGCGGCAGGTCGGTCTCGAAGAGGCCCCAGTGTTCCGAACCTAGACCGCACCTCTTGACGCAGAGCCGACACGTCTCGAGGTCCGGGGACCCGGGCACCGCCGTCGTCTCCCCGTCGTGGGCCACGGCGTCGCTGGCTCGGGCCCCGTAGATCTTTACCTCCTGCATTGCGCGCGCGCGTTCAACGCCCGAGTTCTCGGGCCGCCGACTCGCGACTGAAACGCTACGCCATACGCTTTTCTCTCTCCCAGTGGCGGCTGCCAGCACCGTTCCTTCTCCCCTTTATTTTTTGTTCGCCATCATCCTCGCACACCGCCGCCGCCACCGCCACCGCCACCGCCACCGCCACCGTCGCCGTCGCCGTCGCCTCACCATCACCATCACCATCACCATCACCATCACCATCACCATCACCATCACCATCACCATCACCATCACCATCACCATCACCATCACCATCACCATCACCATCACCATCACCATCACCATCACCATCACCATCACCATCACCATCACCACCACTATCAATACTACTGCCAACACTACTACCACCACCACCACCACCACCACTATTACCACCACCACTATTACCACCACCACTATTACCACCACCATTACTAAGAATACTACCGCCACCACCGCCACCACCACCACCACCACCACCATCGCATCACCGACGCAAACACGACGTTCAACGCCGTCACCACCGCAGCCGTCGAATAATAACACACCGGGTAGGAAGTAAGGAAGTAAGGAAGGAAGGAAGGAAGGAAGGAAGGAAGGAAGAAAGGAAGATGGACATCTTTGCGAAAACCAAAGACGCACCGTTTGATGTTCTTGAAGCTCATGATGCTACATGACGTTTCTTCTCCTCCCCCACGCCCCTCTATAGCACCGTCCCGCCGTTTGGCTTTATCGTTATTGCGCTCTCGGGGGGACGATCCGACGATATCCGACAACGACGAGATTGCGCGATTGATTGGAGCAGGAGCTGAGCTGCCGTCGTGGCCGTCTTCCCCGACGGCGGAGCCATTGAGTCTTTCCGTAGCACGCGCGCACTGCCAAGAGCAACAACAACAAACAGATAATAAATAGAAATATAATACGATAGGCAGCGAAGATGTAATGAGAAACAAGTGACCGTAAAATCATTGCTCGAAGGCTGTTGTTGATAGGCGACGCGGCTCAACTTTCCTCGAGCGCTGTCCCCTTTGGGGCTACGGATTTTCCTTGCGCTTACGACACGTCTTAGCCAGCACGGGAGCGCTACAACTAGGAATAATGATCCGTGGTCGTTTGCTGAATAGGCTGACGTGCGAGCGCTTGAACCATTGATAAAAGTATCTCGTATAGATTATAAAAGGGATTATATAGATCTTGCGAGATGACGGGAGCTTGATGCGCGACACCAAGCTCCATTTTTTTTCTCCATATTTTGTGGTAATTCGCGCGAGTAATAATTCCGTATTGTGCTTGGATATCGGCGAGTGGAGAGTCCATGCCGTTAGCCCATCGTTTTCGAGTCCAGGAATGGGGGGAGGTCCGCGTACGCGAGGAGGAGGAAGGAGCCTGGGTGAGAAGGAGCAATCGGGCAGATCGGGCCAATATTGGAATATGCTCGGTGGCTTAATACATACTCATGCTCATATGAAAAGTCGTATGAATTTGCAAAAGTGCAGTGAACCGAGTAGAGATCGTAGCGTTCGTAAATCTAGGAGAATGCTTGGCTTGGAGAGCGCAAGTGGAGTGTCGGAAGATCTGGACCACAAGCTTTCGTAAACTAAAGGACTGAGTGGAAACTGCACGGAGTACAAATCTTATTTTAGTCGTTGACCGACGTCGATGCAATTTTTACATTCGTTAAATATTCGTTAATTAAGGAAAAAGTATTGATGTCGATCGTTCGGTTATGTAGAGAAAGGAAAGGGAAGGCATTTGACGTTGATATTAAAGAAAGTAAGCGTTTATGTTTAATTGCTCTATTAAAGAGTTTTCCGCTAAATCATTATGTAACAACGGTAATGCGTCGTTCATTTTTCTCTTATTCCCAATTCATTTTATACTCAAACTCGTTCTAGAAATTTAGAATTTACGCTGAAAACGTCTCGCGTGTATGTAAAAGAAAGAAAAGAAAGAAATGAAAGAGTGAGAGAAAGAGAGAGAGAGAGAGAGAGAGAGAAAAGAGTAGTGTTACAACTGATAATGTATTAACATATCTAGAATGTGCAATAAAGTCGTTGTTTTATGTTATCAGAGGGAGCTTGCGCGTAGCTCCGATATGCCTCGCGAAAATATTATCTTAATAGACTGGTTGTGGTTTTCAGCTTTTGCACGGCTCCAAATTAGTTTTTCACATTATTGAAGAAATCGTGCAAGTTTAAAGCTATAGTCTATGAGTTTTGCAAGCAATTTTGTGGCTCTTTTCACTAGGATCTTGCATTACTTGGAAAACTCAACACTTTATGTGGCTGTAAATTTTTACATAATTCCAAGATTTACGTAATTGTAAATTCGCAGATAAAAATCAGTGTTTTTTATTTATTTATTTATTTATTTATTTATTTATTTATTTATTTTTTCATTAGTCGAGGATTATGTGGCATTTGTACACGACTCTACCACTAAAAACTAAATAAAATTCCTTTTATACAAATTGGAATACTCGTGACCTTTTTCTTGTTTTCTATTATTAATTTATGCTTCGACTAATAAAGTTTGAACTTCGTTGGAAAATTTTACTTACCTAAGATTATGCATTAATAAGTGAAATTCGTGTTTAACTTACGTAAATTAAAGTGATTGCGTGGGCTTTTGTTGGAAGGAATTCAGCGAATTTCTCAAGTGACATAATAAATTAAATTATCTTGTGGTCAAATAAATATAAAATAGAAATCAGTACACGAGCACATTACATAAAAGCGATCTATTTTTCTACAAGTTAAATGTTTATGCCAGACGAAACAAACAATAAATTACAGGGAAATGTCGTTAAATAACTTGTTTCTCTCTCTCTCTCTCTCTCTCTCGTTAATTTACTTTTACAATCAATTTTGAATTTTATTATTTTGATCAGTGTCGTGGTTTTCCTTTTTTTTTTTTTTTTTCTTTTTTTTTTAAATTAACAGGATACGTTTTAATCACCTATTTATTTTTAGATTCTTGTGAACTTGTGTGGATAAGTAGTAATTGGCTATATAATTCAAAATTTCAACGCTATTCCTCCGAATACACCAACTTTAAATATCTTATATTTATTATTGTAATTATAAATTATATTCTAACATTTATCTAAAATATATGCTGATAATAAAGGTAAAAAAAAAAAACCTTTTCAAAAATTCACACAAACACAAAACTAAGTAGTTCATTTGAAAAAGATTTTAAATATAAGTTATTTGTTTTTTAACATCTAATTCATCCTTGACATTAAGTATTGAAACAATTTATCCTTCTTACAATGTACTACTCGAGCATTTACGACGCTGAGAAAAAAATTACAAAAATTAAGTATATATTAAAATTAAAAAAATAATAATAATAATAAAAATAAATAAATGAAAATTAAAGAGTTTTGGAAGAGAAATAAACGACATCGATTGATTACATAAATGAAATAAATAAACCATGTTGATTTGTTAAAACAACTACTTTTCTATTCTATTTATTACAAAAACAAAGATAAAATTCATGAAAATTCATTATCTTGATTTTAATTAATAAACATATTTGTTTTAACAATTTGTCTACGTATAATTTAATGCTCAAATTTAATAAGGCAGAATTTTTCTACTCGAGGACAATCAACGCTTACTCAAATTAAAAATATAACATACTACGTGTCAATGAATAAAGTAAAAAAAGAATAACGAGATAATGCTGTTCGTCTTTAACAAATTTTTTCTATATTAGCGCAGTGATAATGATTATTGAAAGTCATCGGTTCAAATACAATATGAGTTAAGCTATTGTTGCAATTATGTTCTGTTATGAGATTTTAAATAAATATGTCTAAGTGAATTATAAAAATTAACATTGAACGTGCCTTCGTAAATTTTACATTCGTATAATAATTATTTCACATCGTATATATGTACTATGAGATCATAATGGTACTACGGTATTTCGATACAATTTTTGTATTATTTGTTCCATATTGTGAAGATTTTTACGCGCAATCTTGGCAATTTTACCTTCTGGTAAGATGTCAGGCTCGTATTTTAACAAATAATAGGCATCGTTTAAGAATTTTTTCGATTCCTGAAAACATAAATAATAATGAACTAGCGACTCGTGGCGATTATTACAAATACAATTTAATACGTTCGATCAATAGGCAGTCGATACAATCAATAAATAAGTCATCATTATGTTGTAAATTAGTATTGGTTGTTGGTGTATATTTTGTAAATGTAGAAAATTTATAAAAAATTTAATTGCGATATTCAATGATTTGTTAGGATCGTTAAGATGTGGAACTAAGCGAGATAATAATTATAATTAAAGGAGAATTAGGCATATTATTATGAAGCATTATAATCAATATCAAACATTCTGACGATATAAAAAAAGAAAGTGATGCTCTTTATTATTTATTGTTTATTTGAATATCATCATTAGATTGTTGTCACTAGTATTCTATAACGGAGCAAGTGAAAATTAGCTTGAAATATAACTTTCCAATTCAATTCACAATTGATTATATTAATCAATTAATTGCTGAAATCTCGATGGTAATGAAATTCTCGAATTTCGTTATAAAGAATGTAAAAGTGAAATTTTTGCTTGGCATTTAGTAGGATAATCGACAGTGTTACATTACAAAATTAAAATAATGAATTAAATAAAATAATAATAATATATTTATAGTTTTCTTTTATAGTTGCTCATCATACAAAGGCTTTTATCGTTCGCTAAAAACATTGTTTCAGAGCTCGCTATAAAAATTTCCATAACAAAGTTTACAATTAATTATGACGCAAAATTCCACATCACTCGAAAGCTTAACCGCGATTCCATGATTAATTAAATTTATATATATATATATATATATATATATATAGAGAGAGAGAGAGAGAGGGAGAGAGAGAGAGAGAGAGAGAGAGAGAGAGATTTAAAATGTTCTGTTTAATAATTTGTCGTAAACTACGCACGCTCGGTTACATCAATAATCATAAATAATTTAATTTTATTACCTGTAAAATATCGAACAATTGATTAGAATCTTGTCTCCGTCCAAATTCCGCGATCGCAGCGTGCAATTCAAAAAATATTAGACCTCTTATTCTATTCTCAGCTGCAATGAAATAATTAATTAACGAAAGCCTTCCCCCTTCGCCCGTCTATCGAAAGATTAATACAACAATTGTTTTTGTTCGTGGCTCGTAACGAGCGAGATGGGACGGCATTAGAAATTACGAAATTCATCGTCACGTACTTTCTAAACTTTTTACCTGAATAAAAAGTCGCTCTCGAAGAGTGCGTAGGACATATCAAAAAAGCTGGCAATACGTATTGAAAATAATATTATCACGATGCAATGCCGTGCATGTTAAACATTGGCGAGAGAAAAGCAAAAAGAGAAAGAAAAAACAGAAACAAAACAAAAAACAGAAAGACAACGAATGAATAGTAAGTTTAAATTGAATTTAATTCAACGAGTCGGATGCTCTTTCGCGCAAAGACAGCGCAAACGGCGAATTAAATAAAGTCGAGCCTACCAGGTACAATAGACGTAAGTAAGGCATCGAGTTTCTTGCACAAGAGTATTTTTTCGTGAATGAGCTCGTCGCCGAGGCCCAGCAGGCCGAAGCTCGGCTGCCCAATAAGTTGGGCGAGGGCTAATTTCACGTCCGTCATGTAAAAATGGTTGTGGTGGATCTTGGACGCGTGCCTCTTGATAAAGGCCTGACAAGTGGCCATGTCGTTTTTCATCATGGACGTGAGATCCTTGCCCATTAGCTCGATCATCTCGTCGACCGAGTCCGAGGGGAGGGCGTTCTCACATTGGTTGCACTTGTAGTCCGGGACCATCATGGTCAAGAACGTTTCAGGCAGCATGTAGCCGGAACAGTTACTGAAAGACGACGTCGTTGCGACGAGTGAGGTCTCGTTTTATTCCCTTCTTACGAGAGAGAGAGAGAGAGAGAGAGAGAGAGAGAGAGAGAGAGAGAATGGCATTATTTACCCATTGGTGCATTTTATGGCGTTGAACATGGTGCCGAATTCCGATGGGTCGGAGCAGCGTAAACAAGTGCATTCGAAAAATTTTGTCCGCAGCAAATGATGACGTCTGTTGACTGTACCCCATAATGGATCGGTATAGCATATTGAGATGTGATCGTCTATAGGAAAATTATTACTCTAACGTACTTCTCAATCTTACTATTCCGTATAATTACAAAAGGTGTTTCTCGTCCCATCGAGAGTGCTTCGATCATCTATTATTTGAAAAGGCATGAACGGCACTCGACTTGCCCCTTCATTCACATTCCATTGGCATTGACAAACTACTTGACACTCTTAAGGACGATATTTTTATATTCGATAAGTGATATATTCATTTACCTACCCTTTTCGATAGTCGTAGCAGCCCGAATAATAATGCCACCTGCATTGGTAAAACTTTTTGAGCAATTTGCTTTGCAACTGTGCTCCAAGTAAGATGACAAATCGTACACAGCTACATGGGATGGCTCGGTCGTTGGGATCTCGTGGCCGTTTATCTAATTATAAACAATACCAAGCCCAAGTGTATTATATTTAATGGGGGTTGCAAATTTCATAATTTCATATTAATTGGAGAGTAATGGGCTTTAGCGCGGTTTTAACGACGGTGTGATTTTACGTTGGATAGACGGCCGATTTTATAAAAGCCCAGGTTTTATACATTTATACGGCCATTTTGTAAAAGCTGTCGGTTGCGAGGCGAGGCTTGGGCAAACTCTTGTCAATATTTTTCTCAAGTGAAAGCGAATATCCCACCTGCATAATGCCAATGATCTTGGCAATGTCGCTCTCGGGGATATCGACCAGCTTGTTGAAGAACCTCTTGATGAATTGGGCTATCAGTTGCGCCTCCTCGTAAATCGCCTCTTCGATTTCGCTTGCCAAATTGATCAATCGCTCGTAATCGCGGGGATGGTTGTCACGCAAAGAAAGTGCTCGCACGGCTCCGATGCACTTGTACGTTGGATGCGTGACCCCGAAGTCCATTATCGAAACCTATGCAAATCGTCGCTCAACTCAAATCGCAATATTATTAAGCATGTGACATTAAGACTTTACCGTATTAATGTGCTTGTGTTAAGACGATAAGGATTGTAGTCACGATAAGGATTTAAATCGCACATTTTTGCGCGAGACAATGGCTCTTTGCGCTTATTTAATAGGCTACAACCATTTTGGCGCCAAATTTATTTGACCTTCTCGTCTCAACAGCGGAATTAATATTATTTCTCAAGTGCGATTCATGATTCGATGTAATACGTTACGTTAATTAGAGTATTATTTTCAAGATTTCAGTGTTTTCGCACGAATAATTTATTGCGCCGCCGAGTTTATTCATCGACTTTCGTTGAAAGAATTTTCCCTGTGTATGCGTTCATTGAAATTATCAATTTCTCGCAATTAAACGAAATAAGCGATTAAAGGTAAATTCGATAGAAATTTATTTTGAATTATTCGTTGAATGTAGTGAAAAATTTTTTGTATACTTTTAAGAAATTCTACGTATAAATGTTGGCCGCCATTTCATCTAAATATCCATATCTGTATCGACGGTTGCTCAAAAATTTAATCTAATAATACGAGGGGCGTTCGATAATAAAGGCGCGATTAATCAGAATTAATCAAAATATAGAGTCAAATGCTGTCGGACATACACTGTCGTCTAATGATATTATGTACATCAAGCCCGACGGCACATAGGGACTGCCTGGCAATATATATGCGTATATATGCGGATATATGCGTAAAATTCCTTAATATCCTCAGGGACGAGGACTGTGGTTGGAGCCACACTGGTGTTACCCTCGAAGGAGCCGATAGATACTACATTCGAAAGTCCAAACGAAAGTGCTACGCGCGGCTCTGCGAAAGGAGATTGGCACTGAGGCCAGAGGCCCGCTACAATTCTGCATTTCAATACTGTGAAACTGCATTTACATCAGCAATATTGCACTAGCGATACTTCACTACGGATTGTTAAAACGATTAAGTGCTATGTGGTGGTTTGGGCGGAAAGTCGACGAGCTATTAAGGATAACGAGTTTCGACAAACCATTCGCAAGATTATAAGATCTATAACTTATGCAATTTACGATGGATAATGTAAATATTCATTCGTTATATCGATGCTTCATTTTGCTAGACGAAATGACCGAATGACAAGAATTGCCAAGCCACGGGCATTTAACGTCGAACGGTTATTGCTGACGTGGCGTGAGAGGCTAATTGAATCGTCGTGAACGGAGAGAAGGATCCCCTTAAAAAAGTACGGATATTATTACCGGATTTACTCCATCCTCCATTCAATCTAATATTCAAGGCAATTAAACGAGAGTTCTCGAAAAAGATTTAAATAATGTACTACGACTTATCAATATGACTCTGTAACGCTTTCTTAACGTCTAATTAAACAATTTTTCCTATTACTCTTTATGAATATTATTTATTATTGTTGTTACTATTACTAAAATTACTACTAATACTATTGTTACTACTACTACAACCACTACCACTACAACCACAACCACCACCACCACCACCACCACCACCACCACCACAACTACCACTATAATTATATTTATTTGCGTTTTTTCAAAACACCTAACAGAATTCATTTACTTATCATTAATATTTATTCTTATCAGCACGAAATTAAAATACTACTTTTCCTCTTTTAGTAAAAACGCTAGATAGCAAACATTTCTTAAATTTTATAAGCCTTGGTATAATGCTGACATAAAATGAGAAAAACAGGCAAATATAAATAGATAGGAAGTGCGCGTAACAAATAATTAATATACACTATTACAGTACGTATGTGAAATTAATTTCCAGTGAGTATAGGAATGCGAAAATGCAAATGTTTATTTCGATAATTAGTTTGAGTACAAAGTAATAAACGCAAATGTGATAGTCCCAAGGCATCTCTGTTATTACATTCGCCTTATTATCTAATTAATAATGCCAATTAATACATGCGCACACCTTATCATTGAAGTTGCGCGTTTCAATCGTAAATAACATCTAAATACACTAACATTTATTTATTTATTTATTTATTTAGTTTTTTTAAAATATAAAATAAAATAATTTTTACATGATTTGCAAAAACAAAATATTCCTATAATTTAAAACAACATATTTATTCGTTCTATTTCATTTTTGCTTTTTCATACGCAAATTTGCAAATTCTAATAACCACAAAAATACTAAACGATTAAACTGCGGTATTTTTGTTAAATTTAAAAATCAATTATTTCACCGACAAATGCATCAAACGCATAAAAGTATATTTGATGTAAAAAACAAAAACAAAAACAAAAACAAAAACAAAAAAAAAACAAAAAAAAAACAAAAACAAAAACAAAAAAAAACAAAAACAAAAAAATATAAATGTATGTTTTTTAATTTAACGTTTTGTAATTAAATTATTTTCTATTTTCAAACGTAGTCATAAACCGTATTCATATATCATAAAACCACACACATTAGCAATATCTAAGACTGTTTCTTTGAACGCGTCATATTTCGTAGTAAATGAAATTAATAATTTACTTTATTAATTCGGCCTTTATTTCGCTTTTACATACAATATTTTACAATAAAGACAGGGGCTTTTTATCCGAATCGGCATTGTAGTAAATTTTTAGAAATTCTATAAATATCGCGTCCCCGTGTGTTCTTATTGACTTTATTAAGTTATTAGAATTTTGACAGCAGGCCAATAATATTATTAAAAAAATACTAATTCACAACTTACATTAATTGAAATAAAAATGTTCATCGCAGCTTTATAATATCATAAATATAAATATACCTATATTACTCTGCTGGATTTATTTTCAAATTATTTCTCATATTTTATATTTTGTTCTAGTTTTATATTTTCTCATGTTTAATTCGTTAATGTTGCACATTTTTTTCGTTTCAACTTTCATTCTACTTTTATACTTTTATTTAAAACTATTCACGCATATCAAGGAATAATTATAAAATATAAAATATTTCCTATTAAAATAAAATTTTTAAACGATTCATTATCCCAATCATAATCTCTAATTACTTTTAACATTGATAAGTTGTATTCTTGTCTTTTCTTTTTTTCTTCTTCTTCTTCCTTTTTTTTTTTTTTTTTTTTACTTTCTTATTACATATAAATTATTTTTAATCAATTGTTACATAAGGCTTATTAATTAAGCCATGATTATAATTATAAAATAATGAAATTGATCTCATGTGGAAACTTTTTTTTTTTTTTAATTATAAAATATTCAAATGTCCGTAATTATATTTTACGCGAATTTGTGACTACTATATTTTTATTTTACATTGTGTTTAGTAACAAATTAGCATTAATTATTAAGTATATTTTATAGTGAGCTTTAAATATAAAATTTATTTCTTCAAATTAATATTTACGTCTTATTGCAAAACACAGTAAAAATGAATGTAAAAAAATATTAAGCAACGTAAAATGGCGAGAACTATTTTAGTTTCTTTTTTTTTTTTTTTTTTTTTTTTTTTTTTTTTTTATTTCTTTATCTAAATTTAATATTTATAAATAGAAATTAATTATGAAAGAGTAGTAAATTTTGTAAAATCAGTAATCGTAATTTATAGAATGTGTAAAATGATGATGAAATATATTGTTACTAAATATGTTTTCGGAAATTTTCTCTTTCAATACCAATCAACTGCTTGATTATAAATTTTACATCAATAAGATTATAAATTATGGTATTGAATTTTTTCATTTAGACGTTTGACCAGACCACTTTATATGTATATGCAGATGATTTTCTTTAAGATACGCGAGTCTAGGATACTTTAATCTTACGATACTACGATGAAAAACAATTGTAACTATGCCAATTGCTCTATTTTTATAACTAGAAAAACCAAGCTTTCTTAATATACACTTAACTACTTAAGAATCCGAGTTATTAATCGTGAACTTACGCTACTAAGAATATAGCTACTAAAACATTGTTACAGCTTGTATTTTAATATGCTAGTAGGCTTTATAATATGCAATTTATGAATGGAGAGTAAATTAGATATTCTAAGCAAAGTCTATACAAGCTAATAAAAACAAACAATAGAAATGCATCTAATTTTCATTTCGACAATTTTTTCGATAATTTTACTCATATTTGTAGCTATTTGTACACATAACATTACATGGTTTTGAAAGAAAATAAACAAACTGTAAATCAAATGTGCTACATGCTGTATGTGTGTGTATATATACAGATTAGTAAAGTTATTAATACTTTCCTTACGTTTCACATAGTGTTCTCGTTATATTTAATTCATAATCTTATATGTACAAAACTTCAATATAAGTCAATTCCAATTAATGTAGACACTCTAGCAAATAACTTAGTAAATATTGTCTCATATCATGTTAAATTATTCTTAGCGATAAAATAAGAAAATACGAATATAATACGAATACTATGTAACACGATAGTAGTGCGATAGTGTGCTTTTATTATTTCAATTTCTATCAATATGGATACTTACGAATACATCGTACTAATGAAACGGTAAGAGCGACAGTATAATAACAATGTGACCTTAATTAAGTCTCGCTTTATGCCAAAAATATTATGAAAAAAGAATGGTGGCACATAAAAGAAAAAAAAACTTTCATTAATAATTTGAGTGACTGCATAAAAAAAAAGAAAAGAAAGAACAGTATATTTATCGAATAGTCGATGAATCTTATCTTATAAACATAAATATTTTAATGCAGTACAATTATTGCTCTGATTATTGGATTTTTAATAATTCGACTTTAGTGGCGAAGAGCAGAATATTGGCCAAGCAATAGACTTGGCTTTGTTGCCGTTATTGGGTTTACGATGTCACGATGGCGAAATACATTCAAAAAGCCTAATGTATTTACTTTTTGAATTATGTCAGTTTGTTAAAGTCTTAGAATTACTTATCTACGAATGTTTCACTAAGCCAACGAAGAAGAATATTTTGTCATTCAGAAGGCCTGAATTCCCCTACTAATCACGAAGGCTACCGATCTTTCCTTAAAATAAAACAAACAAAAAAAAAAAATGAAATAATCATAAATGCCATATCAGAGATTTTTGTTTTGTTTTTTTGTTTTAATTACATTGCAATAAGAACGTACATGAATCATACATGATAGCTTGTTTATAATGACATCGCAACTCGCTTCGCTATGACCTTATCACGTAAATAATCACCTCTCCGTATGCTTCGCGGAGAAAGGTAAAATGCAAAAAGTTGGTAAAACCTTTTTATAAAACTTATTCTAAAAAATTTATGAATTAAATGTAATGCAAGATCGAATTATTATTCGTAAACCCCCCAAACTCACAATCGCCAACTGACCGAATCTATTCGCGTTAATAATTGCCTCCCGGCTTCCTCAAACGTAATTTTTTCCGATAAACATGTCAGTGTCCGGTGGATGGAGAAGCCCGGCGGACTCCCCCCTTCGGACCGATTGGTCTCGTGCCGCTGGCGGAACAAAATAAACATGTGCGCACTCGTTAATTGACTGCAATTGGCAAGCCACGCGCCTCGAGGTGGGGGAAATACCAAGCGCACACACTCGTCTCCGGACATCTGCCGATTCAAATCGGTTGAAGCCTACCTTGGAGTCCTTGTAGCGGCTGGTGAACTCGCACTCGGGGCCGTGTTTCTTGCAGGAGAGGCAGAGTGGCCATCCGCAGGAGTCGCAGGGCTTCGCGGTTTCGCATGTGAGGATCGCGTAGCAACCGAGACAGACGGCCAAAGTATCCTGCTGGGGGGCTTCGAGAAGAGGCACATCCTCCTTTATCACGATTTCGCCGACCTTGATGCGACGCAGCGCGACATAGTGACGGCCAAGGATGCTGTTCTCCATTAACTGAAATTCCGCGGTTTCACAAAAGAAATGATTATTTGTAGAGGGGAGGGGTCTAAAGGATCTATCGGGGCTAGGCGATTATCGTACAAGGATAAAGAAATACACGCTTGGTTGAAACACGAGCGTGTAATTATGATTATTTGCATTTCGCCTGCGAGATTCTCCGTCGCTCAGAGGCTGACTAACCTCACTCTGCAATATTTTTTTGCATTATGTATACTTACAACTATAGAATGTCTATTATTTAATTTGGTAGTATTTGCACATCTGTAGTGGGTTATATTGAAAAACGTAATTTTCTATAATGAAATATGTTTGTTATTTAATCTAGCTACAATATATATATATATATATATATATATATATATATAGAGAGAGAGAGAGAGAGAGAGAGAGAGAGAGAGAGAGAGAGAGAGAGAGATACGTATGTGGCGTTTCCCTCTTCTCCTTTGTTTAACGTACATAATTCAATCATTCCTTCGCTATTAAGCAAAGTATAGAGTTTCTGAATGTAGTGATTATAATTTCACGTACATCCGTTTTACTTATTCCGTTTTGTTTTAAATATCAAACTTTTTATCGTATTTTACAACGGTAAATACTTTTTATCTGCACAGCTATACGAGCAACATTAAATCATGAATTATGACTTTCAAGTTACGCGACAACAGCTAAGATTTTAATAGTTTCTTTATAAAATAACGTAATTTTCCGTTGGAATTTTTTTTTTAATTTTTTTTTTTCGCAATTTCCTCTATTATTATTTACTTTCAGTTCTTTTTTTATTACATTTTTTTTTTATTTTTTTCTTCTTATTAAGTTTCCGATACTTGAATTTCTCGACCTTATTTAAAACTATACCGGCAGCCTTAAGGTGAACATCCTCGTAATATAATCAGAACCTGTTAGTAATTATATATCTTTCATTTTCTCTTTGGATTATGTTGAATTATACTTATTTTCCGACTCTCGAACACTATTCTGCATTTGCAATTACAATTTCTTTCCTGCCCCTCACGAAATCTAGATGATCTACATATGGGAGCTATATTATTTAGAGAAACATGTTTCTATTCCCTTGTGTAAATCGAATTCTGAAACTAAATTGAATAAGAGAGATGATAGAGCATTATTTTAATCCAACGTGGATCTCGAACGGTTTTGATAAATTATTTCCTACTCGTACTCTCCGTGACTGCCATTAGTACATATCTGTGTTAATTTAACTCATTTCCGTACATAAGCATGCCTATAAATTTATTCGTTTTAAATTACATTTGCGTAAAGCATTGTCAATTTGGATAAAATAAAATTACTTAATGTAAAATTATCTTTATATATATATATATATATATATATATATATATATATATATATATATATATATATATGATATACACACCTGTAGTACATAAACTCCGATTGACATGATGTTTAACTTGTTGTTTATACCGATTGGTTGTAAAATATTTTTTACCCGGTTAAATTTTATAAAGAGTTGTGCAGTAAAAATTAATTGCATAAGGCAATAAAAATAACTGTTCGTATTATAAATGTTTAATTGGTATTAGAACGGCTATGTGTTTCGCTAATTAAAATATCACCATTCGTAGTATTAGGCATTTTTAACATACCATTTTTGCAAATGAATTTTCATTTTCAGTTCAATTTCCATTTTCTGATGAATCCGAATTAATAATCATATTAATTAGAAAATAACGTATGAAACAACATCATACATGCTACATAATTTTCATAATTTCAACTACAATGACCAATACTTGAATAAATAATATTTTAAATAAACCCACAATAACATTACATATAAAGTTTCATAAAATTATTCTAATAACATTGATTGAATTTTATATAAAATCTAAAATTCTTTCGTATTCACAGTTACTATTAAAAAAGAAACAAAAAAAAAAAAAAAACAAAAAAAGTGTATACGACACGAATAACGAAAGTGTATTTATGTTGAGTGAGATTATAAATTATTACTCTTGCATAAGCATATGTTCACATTTACTTCAACCCATGTGAGCCTTGTTGTATCTACCTATCATTCGACCCAGTGCTGATTATATAGTACAAATATTTTATTCAAGTATGACAATTTTCCGATTGGTATATATATAATGAAAAATATTAAGCATATTAAACATATATCAAGAGTTGTTATTATTTTTTCTCATATTATGTACTCATTGTTATTGTTGTTGTTGTCGTTATGATATATTCACTATCTTAAAGAAAACATCCAAAAATTATGAGTTAATGTTCAATTATTTGATATTTTCATGTTGTAAATATTAGTTTCTTAATATTTGAAATAAGAATTATAAGAATGTTAAAATGAAAATATAATATGGACAATCAAGAGAATTTTCAATTTCATACTACAATTTAATATAATGATTACTGCATATTCATTGCAATTTATTACGTAACTATCATAATAATTCAGTTTATACTTCATATGTAGAAAAAGACAGAAGCAATATATGTTACACTCATTTCTATTGAACAATAAAAAAAAAATATATATATATATATATATATATATACTATTAATAAAGAGCTTAGCAACTTTTCGGAAAACTTTCACTATTTTTAATGAAAAAACTGCGAAAACTTTCTGTTTTATTGCAAAGAATATCGTTATAGAAAGTATATATGACAGAATTTTATCACATTCATTCAATAAATAAACCACTTAAAATATAACAAATCATACTTTTCATCATTTATATTATCTAATTATTCATTAATTTTTTCCCAATTATTTTTATTAATTTTACTGATTTTTAGTTAACACAAATAGATAGAAGTAAGGCAACCGAATGTATTTAATTTTTTTAAATATAAAAGTAGAATAAGCGCGGATAGATTTTAAGTTACATTACTTTCTATAAATACGAAAGATTATATTTTCAACTTTCATAATTACGTTCTTCATCTTGAATGTTGAAATAAAATTATCTGTGCAAGAAACTTTTATAATTGCTTAACAACAATGTTCATTGATACTAATAATCGTGAACATATAAGTATTAATATATTTTTTTCAATTTTCAATTTAATCATAATACAAACGTATAAAACGTAAACAAGGTATTAAAATTTATTACAATATAGACGATTTGGATCAATATTTTTCTATAGCACAATGTTAATTTATTTAAAATTTTATATTAAAGGTATTTATTTTCTAAAGTAGATAATAATGACATTGATATTGTCATTGTTATATCACTCGACATATATATATATATATATATATATATGTATGTACATCGTTCATTACTAGCTTTCCTCGAAATATAATGTATTTTTATATAAATTTTATTAGCAATTAATACTATTAATCGATATAATGAAATAGTGAATTTTTTTTTTTCATGGTGTAATGAGTCGATCGTATGCATGATAAAATAAAGATTTCGTAAAGTACAATTATATACATAGAATGTTATCAATTTTAGTTCAATTACCTAGGGCAACAAATTTTTCTAGCAGAATTTTCATTATTTCTTTGCAAGCTTGCTAGTTAACTTTGATTGACTATTAGTTTTGTGATAGATTGGTAAGATAATAAAAAGCAATGAAATATAATTAGTTTCTTCGCAAATATGATGGTGCCGAATATGACAATCGCGTGCTTGTTTTTTTAAAGTTCCAAAGGTAATATTAAAATCAATTTAATTGCAAAGCCAATCACAATTGTAATAAAACAAAAACAAAAAAATAAATAAATAAAAAAAAAATTAAGCATCATTTCGAAATGGCAAATTTATTAACGCGAGTGATTGGCTTTCAATCTAATTGATTATTATCGAAAATCACCAAAGTAAAATGTGCTCTTATAACTTATTCAAATACGAAAATCTTAAAATCTGTTTCAATATATCCAAATGTAAATGTTGTCCTTCAATAATGACGGTACACCGGTAATTAAAAATGTAGTAAAATTTCTTTATAATCAATTGTGCATTCGATTGTGTGTTAGTTTTAAAACTTGGACAGTTTGTGTGAAAAAGCTCCATTAATCAAATGTAAATGTTAGTATTCAATGTATTAAGACTTAATACAAAACGAATAAAACAAAAACAAAAAATAAAAAAAAAAAACGAAAGAAACAAGAAAAAATTTCATTAATCTTTGGAAAATGAAAAGAAAAGCCAAGCCAATTATTATCAAATACATTCGTTCGACCTTAAAACTAAATAAATCTCCTAAATGTTTTCGAAATTTCGACATTCATGTCGAAGTCGCACGCCTGATACTGAAAATATTCTACGGCAAATGAACGCTGCTGCATAAGGCGCGTAAAATAAAGGAAAAAAGTTATTAGACCTATTATTGTAACAGCTAAGAATGCATTGCTTGGCTTTAATGGCCAACTCGCGGGTCCATGAATATTTTCGAAACCCTTAGTCGGGATGCAGCCGTGCCCAAGAAGATTCTTAACCAACGATCTCAATTCTTGAGCAAACCACTCACAATATTGCCGTACTTTGAATAATAAAAGAAAGAAAAAAACAACCACAACAACAACATATCAGCATTTACGACTGCCATAACGCGTCTCTCTCAACATAGTTTCCTTTCGTGAGCTCAAGGACGCCACCTAGCGCGAATTAGTTGACGAGCAGCGGCTAACGACCGTAAACAAATAGGCAATTGCCGAGATTTAGCCGCTCGCCATTTTAGCCGAGAGCAGCGGCAACGGAATCGCAATCGCAATCGCACTAGAGGATCCGAACCTTGTAAGGTCTGCAGCTGGCAGCGTGGGTCCTCCAGTGAGCCTTCTGGTGATCCCGGCCGCAGTAAAAGATGGATCTGCATCCGGCGCATCGGTGGGCCGCCGGGATGTGGCAGAGGGCACAGACCTTCATGGAGCTCATCTTCGAGGTACTGCCGGGGGAGGCGAGAGCACCGGACACAGCGCACGATTACGTAATGAAGGCCGAGGTTCTCTCGCACCGAACATAGAGGGCCGCGACACGCCCCGATTTCCCCGGTCGCCACTATCGGGAACCTCTAGCGAGAGTATTATAATGTTTTAATGCAGCACGTCTTTGGAATGGGGCAACTCGACTTGCAACGCCCGTCGCTCCTATATTTCGTCGTTTTTGCCGTTGCCTGGGTATTGCCTGGGGCGATCGACGCGTTGTCCGAATGGAAAAACGCGAGGCGACGGATAAGGCGTTGCCCAACGGCGCTTCTTAACGGTGCACTCCACGGCTAAATATACATACATTTACCTCTAAATCCCCTCGTGAGATGTTAACGCTCTTTACATACGAGTTGTCTTCTTTTTTTCTTTGTACTCGGGTGTGATTAGCTATAAAAAGACCGCTAATTTCATATGAATTTTTCACGGCGGGAATAATTTAACTGCTTGTTACATTATAATTCCCGTTCGTATTCTCTCGGTCTCTCTCGGTCTCTCTCTCTCTCTCTCTCTCTCCTTCGTTGTAATTTTTTTTTTTCAGTTGTAAAAATACTGTTGTCGATATTGTGCTGATACTACTTATTAATAATTGTGTCGCGATGAGGTTTTAATTAATCGTTCATAATAGCTCGGTCGACGATTGACCAATTCAGCAAAGGAAGTAAAAGTATTTAAGCGACGTGAAAGAAATTCGTTAATTTTTTAATGGCCAAGACATCATCACTGTCACGATCTCGATTAATATATATCTCATTGAACGTTCGCTTAGGCATTTTACCGACTGTTCGTTACACGATTTTTTTTTTCACGAGCTGATGAGCTTTCAAATGGTCAAACGATAATTCGTGAAAAAAAGTTTCAGTATTATGATTTTTCAAATTTCCATATCTTTATGCTATTTTCATTCTTTAATCGCTGTTTGCACCGAAGTATGAAAATCATTATTTATTTAATCATTCACAATTGGACTAAAGTGTGATTATTTATTAATAATTTGAGACTCGCTAGAAGAATGTATAAAAATTTGTCAGCTAAATGATAGATAGACCGTGATAATTGCCAATAGATTAATAAAAATCATATATATATATATATATATATATATATTTAATAGGAATTTTGAAACTTAAAATTTGCTATTATAAACGATAGGGCCAATGAACTATTGTCGATATTGGCAAAAGCACGATTTTATGCTATCTAATGCCACTACTTACGCAAGCATCTTCATTAACTGAATAATAGGGGAGATAAAATGGGACGCATAATGATAATAATAATAATAATGTGCAAATAACTGTTTTTCGTATAATTTTTTTTTTATTTTCAATATTAATCGAGCACTTGGTTCTTGATCTTAAAAGTTTTCTCAACGATAATTATATTCGTTTAATCTCGTGATCAAGCAAGTTAAGATTCAGTTCAATTTGTATTTTTTTTTCCATCAATTTTTCTTCCCCTTTTCTTTTGTTTTTTTTTTTGTTTTTATACATTTTTCACGACAAGAAAAATGTAAATCTCGCTTAATAAACGATTTCTTATGCTCATCGTATATAATAGTAATAATTGAAAAAAAGTCAGTTTATATAGATTTGCACCTATGCAAATGAAGGTCTGTCTAAAAGGGAGAGAAAATGTACCTATGTAAAGGTTTATATTTATCGTTATTTGTTTGCTTATAAGTATAGCTCAACGATCACAGATACACACAATCTAATCTCACATGTGTCATGCGCAAGGGCATTTTCGCACCTGCAAACCAGTAGAAAAACACGAAGTCATAAGAGAAGCATCTAAATTTTTCTCTCGGGCATTATAAAAATTATAAGGACTTTGAGATCTTTGTTCCAGACGAAATTAGAAGTAACATGTTTTTTTTTCTCACTTTTTCTTCTCTTTTTCTTTTCATTTATCTTTAAAAATACTAATAAATATTCAGAAACTTACATTTAAGTGTGTGCAACGAGAACATTTTTATTTTGAAATCTATAAAGCGCTATATCGAGGCTTTTCCTTTGCGTACGTAGCTATTGATTCAGAAAATAATAATATTTAATAATGCAGAAGAATGAGTAGTTGATACTGGTGTTTCAAAATTTTCTTGTCTAAACATACATCGCATATTTTTTATAGGTAGGCGTACAAGTCTTTAAATGATTTTATTTATGTATTTTTAATTTTTTTATCTTTTCTTTTTTTTTCTTCTTTTTTTCTTTGCACCCATTAAAGATGTATATATATAATTAAAAGTAATTGAAGGCAAATTGAAAAGAAGTGCCATTGATTCTTCGTTCAATTAATGGCTAAAATAAGGCAAATTACATAGTCATATCTGTTGGAAATAAAGAAACATTTTTTTTTTTTTTTTTTTTTTTTTTGAAACTATAATTCCACTGACTGATAAATTAAACGTTTTACATCGAAGTGACATTGGAGCCATTTTGCAGATAATTTTTTTTTAATGAAATAAATAAGTCGTACAATTTTCAAAGTATTTTAAAAGCATATCCACGTAAATATTGATTTAAAAGTAACTTATATGTTTTAACAATATTTTTTCAGGGGATCTATGTTATTGTTCATTCGACGATTTCCACATGGAGCATAGATCTCCGAATAAAATTTCAAAATGTTTGCCTTGACAAGAAATACGTTGAAAAATGATGTTTGCATAGATTTTTATTTCATTATATTTTTAATCCTGACTATAATACTGGCAAGTGCAACGCTATATCGCAGTGATTATCGGTGACAATAATTAATATATCTTTATTCTATAAATGAGACTTATACGGTTTACACATGCGTATATTCACGTTATAATGTGCATATACACCTGCGCTTCGATTAGGTAATAATTATTTTGGCGATGCAAGGCGGATCAATTTTCTGTTCTATTTTCATACTAACATAGTGGAAAAGGGTTAGAATTTTAAAGAAAATCCGCACGTTCTCGTATTATTTTCGTTTAATGGGCGTCTATCAAATGTATATTTCATATATATTGCACTTTCTCATTAAAAATCTAGCTTTGCTGTTGAGTACACGCTGAACACGTTTGATTGCGTTAAAATATCTTAGTCGAAAGGTAAAATGAATTAGGATGAAAATTAGATTTTTCATTTATCGGACATTGTTTCAACGAGAATAAAAATATTTTGCCAATCGTTAACAACATCTAAATGCCTCAAGTATTGGGGGTTTAAAAAAAAAAAAAAAAATTAAAAAAAAAAAAAAATTAAAAAAAAATTATGCTTAAAACTTACTGTTAAACGGTTTCTCACTTTATGAAAATGATTATAGGAAATACTTTGTAACGGTAAAAAAAAAAAAAAAAATTATTAAAATGCAAAATTTGCCGTAAATGACAATAAAATAAAATTCACCTAACTAATATTACTACATCCAGAAAAGCAGGTTTCAATGCAATTTTTTCCTTGTTAAAAGTCACCTCTTTCGAAAAAAAAATATAATTATTATTTTGTCTTTACCGAGTACGACGGATATTATTGTTGAGACAAAATAAATATTACTTTACCATACGATATAAAAATATTTTCTGGATGTATAAATGACACTTTGTTTACCATCTAAACTTAAAAGTAAAATTTAAAAAATTTTCATTTTCAGCCAAATCCACTATTAAGCGACTTAGTTTTTTTTTTTTTTTTTTTTGCACAAATCGTCCAAATACAAGAAAAATATTAACGCATAAAGATCGGATGGTTGCATACACATAGAACTCTGGAAATTTGCAATCTTCGTTAGCCAATCGAATCCACATATATGCAAGTCAGCACTATCGTAAGATTGCAATTAGTCGCTAATCATCCAGCACTCGCTTTCAGTCATACTCACGCATTTTACATATAAAAAAGGGTTGAATGTTATAGATAGAACGACAGAGATAGAGATAGGTAGATAGAAAGGGATAGAGGGAGAGAGAGAGAGAGAGAGAGAGAGAGAGAGAGAGAGAGTGATGAAGAGAGACAAACGGATAAATAGATATACAGACAGACAAACAGACAGACAGACAGACAGACAGACAGACAGATGAAATAGAGATATAATGAAATGAAATTGAGCGAATGAATGTGTACGCTCGTGAACATTTAACTTTTTGCTTTTTCCCGTTTTGCACTCCTCCCTTTCTTCGTACATAAATTCTTTCAAGTCCTCTATAATAATCGAAGGACTCGCTCAACCTCTTAGCACACGCATACACCTGGACAATACAACACATCTCTCATGTAGAAAAATTACAAATGAATGAAGGTCATTTTTTCGGAATTTTCGCCGTCGTCCTCCGCTTTTAAAGGATTTTCACAATAAGTATATATATATATATATATGTATACAAGTATGCGCTTTTACAAAAGAAACATCAGACATTAATTATCTTTTTGAAAAATAGACTAATACAATTTTAATACAAAAAAATATCTTTATGAAATACCGAATGCCCAGTTATGTTTTTTCCAATCTTTTTATGATTCATGACATTGTAATACTTGTTGTAAATGAATTTTACACAACTATTTCAAAATCATTTCTCAATTAAAAAGCAAATATATATATATATATATATATATTATTAGCAACAATGTTTTTAACTTAACAAGATTTTCTGCTCAACTTGAACCATATTTTGATTTCTTACCAATTATTGGTCAATTACCGCATTATCAGCTTTACCGATTAAACATTCACAAGATATCTCCAATTAATATAACATTCCATTTCTCTTGTAAAAGAGCTTATTGACATATTTATAAGCTCACAAGGCTTACATCATCGAGAAAACAGCTAAATCGGTTCCTCACTTTCGAGCGCAAGAAGGAGTTCAAGTCCTTATTCCTACGTTTCCATTATATTTCGTTAATTTGGCGGAAAGCCTTCGCTCCTATATCATTCGCGATTGAACTGTGCTTTTGTCGCGTAGTATACTAGTTGTATAAACTGTTTCATTAACTGCATGCTTTCATTATTTAATTATGTAGTATATATTTATGCACTTGATAAATTTCATCAAAATTATTAAGGAAGTTTAATACTGTAACGGGCGCCGAGTATTTACTAGTCGAGCGCTCGTTGCTGCTCGCGTGACTAGTAATGGAGACGCCAGGGGGCGCGTGAAATAATCACAAGAAAGAAACGAGATCCATCGCGCATGTGATGATGGTGAATTGCCGGTCGGATGGGTAAGGAATGGGTGTAACGTGGGTTAGGATGGACGATCTTGTGTAGATACGGAGTTAGGATGATCGGCGATCAGCGAGTCTCCTCCTGTACATACTTCTTCCCAGATTTTGCGTATTCTGTCTTGTACGGTAAATTCTTCGGGAAAATTGACGCGCGCAGACCGTCAGAGTGCCTTATCATTTAAATGAGAAAAAAAAAAAATAATTAAAAAATAGAGAAAAAAATCTTAATCCTATAGTCTAATGTAGTTATGTAGGAGAATTTGCTTTGTCAGTTACATTCAAAAACATTTATAACTAATGTAAATAAGCTTTAGTATGTACGTAATAATCGATACACAAGAATCTTCGCATACTTCCTTCACAGTAGTACTTTAATAACTGTCACTTGGAGTATTTAAGTTCTTTGATATAAGAAACGTCATATGCTGCTTTATATAAATTAAAAATATTAAAAATAATTATCTTATAATAACATATTTGTCGTAACGGAAATCCCGAGTTAACTTAAAATGAATTTGGCAATTTTATACAAATGTAAAGTATTCCTAATAAAAGATAGGCTTTCTTCTAAGAAAGTAGTTTATTATATATTATGAAAAATAATCCCCGTATCATTGTTATTATCATTTGATATACGAAGGCATTCTTTATTTATTTCATTGTGTGTATCAGTGGGCTGCACGACTGGGCAGTCGACTACACACGAAGTTGGACTCTATGACGTATCTATGGTAATTTCTATTCGTCGCTACTCGTTTGACGACACCGATAAACCTATACTCACGATATGAAAATTTCTTATCATACTCTCAGCTACACGTTTTTGCTTCATTTTCTTGACTTTACGCTCTCGTCTTTGCCACAAATACGACCACGAACATCTAACATCTAGAGAAAGTGCCGAGAATTAGGCAGCCGTCAATCAAAGCAATTCAACAGATAAACAGTGATTCACTCATTCTAACAATATACTATCGAAACATCTAGAGTAATTACAATGACAAGTCATAGTTAAAACAACGCTTAATTTAATTAATACCGTAATGTAAAATGACTGCCAGAAATATATATATATATATATATATATATATATATATATATATCAGAGCAGATTATTTCAGCTATTACAAGTAACAATACATAAGAGAACTTAAGATGATATAGAGCATATAGAGATTGATGTCTTCAAACGAGTAGCGACAGATATAAATTGTCGTAGAAATACAACAAAGAATCCAACTTCGGTCGTACAGACTGCTGATGCATACATACATGCATTCATACTTGCATACATACTTACATACATGCATACATACATACATACATACATACATACATACATACATACGTACATACGTACATACATGCACGCACGCACAAAACGCACGCGCACGCACACCCACGTACCCACGCATATATCCTTTATAAAGAAATTTCAAGAAATACCAAAAATTATACAATTATTGTCCCGCTTAAATATCCTACAAGAACACGACCACATCCTGGGATGATTACTCGTCTTAAACACGGTTACTTTCGGGTACCTTTATTTGAAGCTGTTTTTAATAAAAGAAATAAAAAAAAATAAAATAAAATAAAATGAAAAAAAAAGAAAAAAAGAAAAAGAAAAAAGAAAATATAAAGGTATAATAACAAACAAGATGCACGACCTTATCACAAAGACACTTTGACGAAGGTACGCGTCTTCTCGGTATGCTTACTACGCATCTTAAAAGAAAATTATTGGACTTTCACTCTAATCGCGCGCTCGAAGATACACTGGGAAAGGAGATTTTTTTTAAATACAATATTGTGCTGGTTCTCTCTTTTCATTGAGTCATACAATGACATCTATCTCTTAATAATGAATGGCTCGATAGAGAATTTACGTATAAGTTCATTGGTCGTGCGAGGAAAACTCGTTCAACGTTTTTAATGTGAAATCTTAGATAATTGTTGCATAACCATTGAATACATTTCGCTCGACTCTATTTGGCATATTTCATTGAGAACATTTGCCGCATCTCGTACGCTTAAACTACAATTCAAGAATTCAATTATCTCATCTCATACTTATACAGGTAGAGTAATCCTATGAACATAGATGGATAATTTCACGTAAAAAGATTAGCCACTGCCATGAGCGATTCGTTGACAAATCAAACTTTCATTAACACGAGAACGGCCGTCCAATGCACAATCGAAATATCCACAGCGCGATAAAAAAAAAAAAAAAGAAAAAAACAAAAAACAAAAAAAACAAAAACAAAAACAAAACAAAAAAATACATCGAGCGATAGATTTTCAATCCTTCCCAGTGTAGATGAGGCCCCGAAATGATTCACGTATCCTGGCCGACGGAAACGACGACGACGACGACGACGACGACGACGAAGTCTGGGCTAAGGGGGGATGATGGCGGGATGATGGCGATTGGGCCAATTTGATTCGTCGCGCCTTGGTACGCGTTACCGCGGATCCTCATCGAGATCCACGGTTCACCATTCTCACCAGCAAAACACCGATAGCTCCTTCCCGTGTTCGCTCGTGTGCCTCCACGTTGTCACCGCTTGCGTCTTCATCTAGAAAAACACGTTTTTCATCATCATCATATTATTATGCGTCAATTTGCGTGTCAATAGCTGTAAGGACATCCAAGTTTAAGTTATCTATGTTAACAAATTTATCATGAGTATTTCTTGAATGAAAGGTAAGAAGCGTTGCCGATTCCCGCAAACCATTGACCACGTAATTCCATCGACCTTGCAATAATTAGCATAAAGTGACGACATTTTAATTCGATGTGAACGGCCATAACGTAATTAATAGTCATGATTGCCTTTGTCGTCGTACTTTTCTCTTCGCGCTACATTGCGTTTTGACAACAACTAAAGAATGTTATTCAACTTGTGCCCTCCAGCCGATTAAATAATATACGTCTCGCGACCAGTTAAAACTGCCTAAGGGCGTTCCCTATCAAATCCCAAGGATTAGATTAGCCGCTATTTTAATTTAGCTCCACACAAAAGTGTCGCCTCTCACAAAAGACTCGCGATCCCCAACTTTGCGCAAATGGGCAAAGCAGACGAAAACAACGCATCCCCGTGCTCTATTTTCGCAAGCGCTCAGACTCCGCGTCACATGACTTTCGTACATGCAACGACATTGCAAGAATATAACAAATGGATAGAATAAACAAATATAGAATACGAACAACGAGATAATAAGTTCATTCGTTAGAATGTTTCGTGCGATGAGTTTTATATTTCTCAATATACGATAAGTCTTGGGAGCGCTGCTTCGTAAACGTATATTCATAACTACCAACACATTTCTCAAATAAGTGTTTCAATAGAATTGATGCCAGTGACCATCAACAATTATACGTAATCAATATCTTTTGGATTTGATTGGATTAAATCAATACCATTCCCTAATTACAATTGACCGTATATTAGCATTGAATGAAATCTGTCTTTAAGGTGTCGATACTTTTCGCCACAATAGCTACTTTTCACCCCCGATTTTTCATTTCCATCAAAAAGTCACATTAGTCGTTCACGACAATCGCTCGTTCGCTCTTGACCGCACCAACTTCAAGCTACGCCCGTGGCGATGCCGATCACCCGCGCACCCTCAGAAATTATACTGCCGACCTCGTAAACAATCGAATCCTTTCTCGTGACAAATCGTGTATAATTATTATCGACAATAATCAGAAATGGAATATAGCTTTTTTGCAAAGTGACAAAATCGGACGATTACGCGATCGTCTATGTTGTTAGCCGTTGTGAGAAAAAAAAATGAGCTGTCCAAGTGTACAAGGAAATGGGAAATCAGAGGAACGACTCATTCTCCATCAATACGAATCTCATAAACTGTCAATGATAAAAAGTCAACCTTCTCCTCCTTTTTTTGTTCTTTCTCTTTTTGTTTTTGTTCATTTTTCTTTTTTCTTTTTTTTTTATAAAGTGAATAAAAGTAGTACTATATAATTTCTTCGTAATCGCTGATATAGTCAATCGAAACTGCGATACCCTTCAATGTTATATCACAATTACAAACGCCTCATATATTATTACTCTATTCTTTCGAAAACTCACCGATCGACTATCCTACGTATGTGTGTAGTTAGTTGTAGCTTGCAGTATTTTTAGTCTACCTATTTTGAGATTAAACTTCAGCTATTTGCGTACATATTCGAATGTATAACATCTAGTCCATAGAATGCATTCCTCTAGCAATCGTTACAAACGAGAAGATTATCGAAGTTGCAATGGTGTTTATAATAATGTGACGTAGGTAGGGTTTTAACAAATAAATTGATTGTAAAGTAAGGATACAATGGGTTTACTATAAAGTTTTCCAACGACCCGATCCACGAAGTAGGGAATTTATTTTCTTTAAACAATAGGTCAAAGCTGTATTTCCATTGCGACGTATAAAATTTCAAACGAACTATGAAAATACATTTGTAAGCAGAATTTACGAAATGATCGATGTGCCTCCTCAAACTTAATTTCCCAATCGCAAAAAATGGAAAATAAAAAATCCGAACCAAAAAGAGATTGCTATTTTGAAACGACAGCATTGTCGTGCTCCTAAAGTGTCAGCAAAAACAAAACAGAAAAGAAAGAAAAAAATGAAGAAGAAAAAGGAGGAAAAGATGATGGTATTATTATTGTTCTTTAAAACGAGATCCAAAATCTCGGCGATGCACTCCGAACAACAACAAAAACGTCGCTCCTCATTTTTCCAGGCTCCCGGT